TTTACTAAAGGCCCTTACTGTTCCCAGTGGGTGGACTTTGTGTTATTGAGCCAGAAACCTTGAGAGGAACCAGCAGTTCACTGTTACTGATGAGTTTCATTTCATTTATTGAGAGAATCAAAAGTGATTAAATTTTTTAAGAGCATGACAGTGGTGAGATCTTATCAGCTCCCAGACCACCACTTTATATATTTCATCATAAGAGGTTTGACTGTTGCCGATGCAAGAGGTTCCACGCGTCAGATCGATCAGCTGCTCAGACTCAAATAAAGTTTGTTCAAAGAGTTTCAGTTTTGTTTTCCTTAACAGCATCAAAGTCCTGACACTGGTTTCCAAAAATACCTCTGTGATACTGATGTACTGCCAACCTTAAACACACACACACACACACACACACACACACACACACACACACACACACACACACACACACACACACACACACACACAGAGAGAAGTCATTTTCCCTCTCTCTTTCTCTCTGTGAAACTCTGATACTTTATGACTGAAATATTTTGGAGATATTCCACCAGAAGCTGCTTATATAACTATCTGACATTATCACACACACTACCACACACAACACACACACACACACCACACACACACACACACACACACACACACACACACACACACACACACACACACACACACACACACACACACACACACACACACACACACACACACACAACCACCAAGCAGTCGATAATGATGCTTCCATGTTTGTGTAGAGAGCTGACTAACAGTAAAGGAATGTAGGTCTGTGGGACTGTAGGCCTTTAATTCACACACACACACACACACACACACACACACACACACATACACACTGAACATCTGCACGTGTGTGTACAGACACATGGGAAGTTGTGTTAGCACACTTGCTGGAATCCAACTTCACATCAGTCTCTCAAATCAGAAAGAATTACGCAATACAGCTTTAAAAGCCACAGAGAGAGGACACACACACACATACACACACACTCTCTTTCTGCTGTGTACTGCCAGCTGGATGATGTCTACTATTAGTGTTTAAATGTCTCAGAAATAAACAGAGGGAGAGCCAGGTTTATTAAACCTGTTCTAAGAAGTCAGAGTTGTTTTTGTCATTTTAAAGGAGAAACATGAAATAGAAGTCTGATGATTCTATTCAATAAATCTCATGAGCTGATCCAAACCAAGACTTAATGTCTCATACTAACAGGTTACTGTGTGTAACAGCAGCCTGATGTTACTGATGTTTTCCAAACACTATTAAAAACATCAGTGAGCCACAGTGTTGCACTATTACTCTGACATGTTCCTTCATTACCGACTGCTGCATGCTCTTCTGGTGGACCTCTCCTCACACTGTGAAACCCTTACAGATGATCCAGAATCCAGCAGCCTGTCTTTGCTACTCATTGACCTCCACCCACTACCCATGACCTCCTGAATCAGATTCAGTCTCTAATGCTGCCTTCAGAGAGATGTCTGGGTCTGCTCCATCTACTTGACCTCAATCATTCAGCCTTAGCTGATATTAATGACTTTATATGATAAACATCATACTGAGTAATTATTAATTAGTTTTTGAGTCATAAAAGGCTTTTTTTCTGAAATGAAGTGAAAATATCAATTTGATTATTTCAAACTGTTGACAATAGAAATGATTCTGTTTCTTTTAAGCATTAAGGGATGAGAGCTCTGATTGTTCCTGTCACAGAAATAGTGAAAATACTGTAAATATCCCATTTGATGGTAACAATGCTACGGTCTACTGAACCTCTGGTTTCCCTGCTGCTCGGGAACTGCAGGGAAGAGGAGGAGCACTTCCAATACACTGAGCCTCGCCTCCATTATAGCAAATAAACTACTTTGATGTGAGGAATAACTAAACATAAGACACACGATGCAGAGAGAGCAGGAGAGAGGGAGGGAGAGAGAGAAGTCATCGGTAACAAGGCTTCGTACTAACGACTATGACCAACTCCACATATCAAACAGAGGGAGTTAAACATAAAGACCTGCCCGTAATAAAAGTCTGTTACGTTCTGGAATTGGAGTAAATAAAGACTACACTATTGTAGATCCAGACGGAGGCTGTGCTCTGTGTCAGAGACTAAATAAGAAAGATACTCTGTCTCTCGCCCCACCTGGTTGAGCATGTGACATTTGGGTTTTTAGTTCTTGCTACGGCGTCTTGGTTCAAGTCTGGCCTGTGGCCCTTTGCTGTGTTGGGACTCATTCAAGAGACAAGATGTTTCTTTGCTCCACAGACAAAGGAACTCACCTCCCCACATTTCCTCACTGTTCACAACTGGGGATTACCCTCCCCCAGGGACCTCACTTACCAGCCAGTGTTGGTCAGTGTGTGACATGTGACTCCCCAGGGTGTCACCAATCAAAACCAGATCTTCTTTCTTCCCCTCTCTTCTCTTCTCGACTTGCCCTCAGAGCAGCTCCTGCTCTTCCCTCTCTGCTCTTCAAAGGGCAACAAGGCCCCAGCCCAGGTCAGCCCTGCTACCTGAGAAACCAGCTCTCTTGCCAGCCTGCTCACAGCAGCCTGCAAACACTCCTCTCCTCAACAACAGCCCCCTGCTTCGGAATAACTGAGAGTAAACCAAGTTTTCTTCAGAATCAGCAGATACAACACAAGGTCAGCCAGCTGATTTAATATTAAGTTCATAATTTGGCCAAAACCGCGTCCAGGTGTACTTACAAACAAGTGCACTGTGGTGAGAATTGGTTTACCAAATTAAGCTGAAGCAAAAGTAAACGTCCTCCAGTTATTAATAGCTAACACCTAAGCATTAGTATCACAATAAGAGCTTGCTGTTGCTGCTAATTATTCCAGTTTAGCTTATTTGTAGGAAGTGTAAGAACCTCAGTTCAGCATTTGAATATCACATCTATCTAGTCAAACTGCCAGAATTGGCTGTTAATTCAAGTGCTCATCCCTTTAACTTAGACACAGCGTGTCACCAGCCCTGTGTAATACAGAGAGCTTGTACCTGGCTGTTACTGCCAAGCATTTCAGCCTGAGTAAGAAATAGAGCCTGAGATAGAGCCACAGCGTGCTACCAGCCCTGTGAAACCCAAGTTCTGCACCTAGTTGCTACTGGCTTGCATTACAGCCTGAGTTAACTTGAAGATATAATCCTCTGACTGTTACTGCCTTTGCATCTCGGTCACTGCTTTTGAAACATTTGTCAAGCAGACAGTAAACCTGCACTTGCTTTTACTGTCCCTACTCTTTTATGCCCACTAGTGTAGCTACCCCTCCTCCACAGGAAGCTACCCCCCAGAGTGTAGGCCACTGCATTGTTTAGTTAGACTAGTGTACTGCCAAACTAAACTACAAGGTGTCTGCCAGCGCAACACCACAGCCAACTACATTACCTTCTTTTTTTTGCTAAACAACTTTTTAACGTCCCTCTTTCCCAGACACAACAATGGAGAACCCCTCTGTAAAGTAGTTTATTTCTTCCTTAGCACAGAGCCTGAAGCCTGGCTACCTGGAATTTATCAGCAAGTTAAATTCCAGTGCAGTAAAGAAATAGACTTGCTACTCAGTGACAGGTGATGCTCAGACTCATCCAAAGGCCCATATTTAAGATGTTTGCTGTAGAACTTCCGCAGGCAAACCAGCATTGCCCTTCAGAGCCAAGCAGCCCTAGAGGAGGAGGTAAAATCACTTTACCTTGTAGAGTCACTGATCATAGTCACTGTCACCTGTGCTCACCCCTCCAAGAGGAGGACCAAGACTTTTCAGGACTGTTCAGCCTCCTCACTGCACCTCCACGAGAGTGATGACAGCTGCTCAGCTCCTTCCTCTAGTCCAGCTAGCTTAGTCTTGCCTTCCACAGAAGGGACCTCACAGTGCCCTGGCCTCGAAGTGCTTGAGTTCATAGCAAAGGACCTTGAACATTTTGATCCAGACAACTCTGATCAACACATTGAAAACTACTTTAAGGAGTTAGATCACAACTTAATTGATTTGCTCCATGCAACCAAAAGGGAGAAAACTAAACTTGTGTGGAAGACCAGCTCAAAAGCAGTCCACAAGTCTATGCAATCACTGCCTCCCAGATGACTACAAAGAGCTCCGTCAAGCACTGACAGAGGAATTCTCTTCTGCTGCTGATGAGATAGAATCTGTGGTTGCAGCATCTCCAATCAAACACTCACGCCGTGAACATCATCACGTAAAATGCATATTTTGAGGGTAGGTAGGCTTAGAGGAAAACTCCACTTTCAAGTCCTTGTTCCTGCAGAACCTCCATCCCTGTGTACGCACTCACGCTGCACTGATGATGCATCAAGGGAAGCCCACCATGCAGGAAATAAAGAAGATGACAAAAATGGCTTGGGAAACCATGGTCACTTCCAAAGCAAAAAAAAACAACTGAGCCTGCCAGCTCAAACACCTTAGCGTCACACAGACCTGTCACCTCAAAAGATCGCCCTCAGAACAGCTCGAAAGGGGGTGATATAACGGGTAAGGATGGAGCCTTGGGGAACACCACAGGTCAGCATGAGGAGGCATCAGTGACATGACCAAAAACATTGTGTTTGCTGAGCAGGATTTGAACCAGTCTGGGACAGTGTCCCTGATGCCGCTTTTCAAGGTGATCCAATAAAACAGAACGATAATCTGAGATCGACAGAATTGAAAATCAAACAGTCTCCTTCTTCAGCTGAAAGTCGTAGGTCATTAGAAACTTTTTTAAACCAACTTTAAATAAACAGGCTTCTCTGAAACAGTCATTTGCAGATAGGTCTAGTTATTGAAACCAGTAGGGTCAACAGGTTTTCTTAGAGGGGGGTTCACCCCTGAATGCTTAACACAGCCAGCTGAGAGAGAGCTGTTTACAGTGGATAACACTGTGGGAAATAAATATGTATGAATTCACATTCATACTCACATCCTGATCAGATGTCAGTTTATTAATCCGTTCTTTCTTTGCCCCCCTCCCTCTGTCTCTGTCTCATATTCCATCATTAATCATTAGCAGTTGAAAGCAACAGTAGCTGTCCTGTTGGTTTTGAGCAAGCCAATGGAACACAGTGTGTTGGTGAGTTTTCCGCAAACACACACACACACACACGTACGCACAGTACTATAGGTCAGAGGTCACAGACAGATGGTGACAATAGCTCAGGTGGAAGAGCAGGTTGTAATCGTACAGTTGGTGGTTTGTTGGACTGTCATACGTTAATGTGTACCTATTGGTACTTGTATTTTACTTTAATGGTTCTCCTTAATACAATTTATACTTGTACCTCACTACATTTCAGGGAGAAATATTCTACATTTTACAGATTCAGGTCAGACTGGCGTCACCTCTGAACTTCTCACATGGTTCCATTAAATCGTTTGAGGCCAAACTTGGTAAAATTACCAAACCAGTGGACTAAACTAAGTGTACATGACGTAGTTAAAGCATCTACAACAGCAAAATGACTCAGGATCAATCATATGATGATTTCATTCAGAATCATAACTCACTGTGAGCAGACAGTTTAAAGTGGAGGGCATACTTTTACTTTTAATTCTGCAAGTAAATTTTGCTGAGAATACTGCAGTACTTTTACTTAAGCAGGATTTCGATTACAGGACTTTAATTCCAATGTAATTCCAAGGTATGTTTGGTATACTGGTACTTCTACTGAGTACTTCTTCCACCGCTGCTGACAGAACAGATATTCCAAATGTCTACACAGGATGCATTACTAACTGTGGCCCTCTGAAAAACACATGTGATCTACAGTCCGACACTGAAACCTCCTGCTTTCATTATGAGTAGACACTCTTACAACCAGGTCTCTGTGGGTGAGATGCAACATGAAACCAGAGTGAACTGGCAACTGAAGTTATTCATTGCCAGAGCAGAATAATTTTGACAGAACATGATTTGAATATACATGAAAATGTAATGAAAACAAGTTCTCAATTATCTTCCTCTATCAAACCAAAGAAAAACAGGACTAATAAAATATCAACACAATCTGTTCAGTCTCAGTCATCAGGTTTCAGAGTGTGAGGAGCTGCAACCTGACAAACAGGTTAAAAAAGTTGTTACTGTTCATAGGTGGATTTTATATATTATATTACTATATATCAATAGCGTATATATAATATATAGTATATTATGATTATTATTATTATTATTATTATTATTATTATTATTAATAATAATTTTTTTCATCCAGGTGGTTAGAGGAGTGTTGTGTGGCTGATCTAAACTCTACTGCTAATGATAAACAACAATAATCAATCATTTCTTTATTAACCTTCTCTGTATTTCAGAGTGTTGGTCATCAGCACGTCATTTACCATCATATTTGTTGTTTTACTGACTGAATACTACATAATCTGTGTCCTGGTTTCTATCAGAGTGCCCACTTTGCTTATTCACGTCTGAAACTAGGATATGATTGATTCTCCAGAAACCTGATTGTGTATTTAAACAAACTCAGTGTTACCAACTCAACAGAGACCATAGCTGCTTCATCTTTGAGCTCATGTTGTTGTGAGTGTGTGTGTGTGATAGCAGTTTGTATGTCCACATGCATGTCTGTGTGTGTTATTGTGTATGAATGAATGAGTTCTTATCTGTCATACCTTTTAAATTACAAGACACACAGTAATATGACTGAAAAGTGTCAGTGTTTAAAACACCTTCAATAACAAATCACAGACCTGACAGAGCTGATCCTCCTCTTCAGCACCAACATCACACTAAGAGGATAAACTGGGCACACACATCTATTTTCTTCAAGAAGATTAAATTTCACATCATTTTCAGAAATTAAACTCACTTCAGAATCAACTTGATATTAAGTTTTGTCTTATTACAAATCTCATTAATCTCACTTATTCTGTCCAAATGTTCCTTACACCCACATTTTAAAATAAATCGTGTCCTCATGCAGAGTCTCTTACACAGTTGGCTATTGTTCATGCGTTGTGTGTAAATGTGTGTGTGTAGATGTGAATGAGTGCCTTCAGCCGGGGCTGTGTGAGAACGGGATCTGTGTGAACACCAGGGGGAGCTATAGCTGTGTGTGTAGGGCGGGGTTCATCCTTGATGCCTCACATGGAATCTGCATCTGTAAGTAACACACACACACACACACACACACACACACACACACACACACACGTATATGCTGCCGCCAGCTTGGGAATGAAATCAGGAATAACGCAGACTCCAGACCAGGACTTCCTGAATCCATCTCAGCTCACTTTCTAAAATCTGTTGGAAAAAAAAAGAATCCACAAACTGCTGCACAAGGTTTAGATCGAGATCTTCATCGCACACAAAGCAGAACAAACAAAACATCAGATTGTATACAGCCCTGTACTGTCCTGTTGTCCTGCTGCACATTGACTCTTGGATGAATCTGATGCCTCCCCTAGGTGATCAAAAAAACTGATCTGCTGACAAAAGGTACCCAAAATATTAATCTGTTGTTGTGTAGCAATATTTTCCCCCCAATATACCAACGAGTACATTTCCTGTGCAACAGCTCCTCCAACCTGAACAACCACACAGGTCGGTTTTTTTTCAACCCTTTGATACGACCCATAGTTGGGTCTCCTGAAATAACACCCCTACAATGGCAGGTGCACCAGACCTCGGTTGTCAGGGATACACTAAATGCGTGGACTGTACCAACAGCAGCATACCTACCTTTGTCACCATGGCTACTATAATAAGGGTCATGGCTTGGTTAAGTTTAGGAAAAGATCATGGTTTGGGTTAAAATAAGTACTTCCTCAACATTAGACAATCTTTGTTGTCATGGTTACAATATAAACAGCTAACGTCATGCTCCTGTGTCATATTCATCCATCCACCACAACCTCCTCCTGACATGGACTTTGTCTCTATTTATAGTATGTCACTGCAGGTGGACTGACCCTTTAATACTTAGAAAAGTCAAAGTCAGCAGAAGTCCACTCACCATCCCTCTGAATCCCTGCACGTCAATGAACGTCTTTGTAAGTGGGTTCTTTGTTCTGTTAGAGGTCAGTAGAACTCTTTGTTCTGCTGAACATCAGTGGAAGCTGGTGCTCAGATGGTTTTTATGAAGCCTGACTGGTGATCTGCTTATTCTGACTGGCATTCACTGAAAAGGAGGAGGAGGAGGAGGAGGAGGTGTGGGTCCGCTGCAGGATGCTGGTCTGCCTGGTAACCAAGGACAACGCTCTAATTAATCAAAGCTCAACGCTGGTTTATTAAGTCTGACTCATGTTTTGTCTGTGTTGCTTCCAAACTGTCTGGACTTGCTGTAGAGGGGTGTGTATTATATGTGTGTGTGTGTGTGTGTCTGTTTGGTCTCTGGTTGTCAGGTGTGTGTTTGTGTAAGTTTGCTTTTCTCCTAGACTCTACATTTATATATGACTTGTTTGTTTTGTCAGTTACGTTCTTATAAAATTCTGTTTGGTGGGATCTTTTTCCAGGGAGTGAAGGTGGACAGTTTTGTGCTGCACAGAAGAAAAAAAACAGTGTGTATAAATGACAGTTCGTAGTTTTACAGAGAGAAACAGTCTGTCACCTAACTCCCAATAAAACTGTCACAAATTTACACTTTCATTTAAACAAACAAGACAGATAATGAGCTACGATAGCTTCCTTACTCACAGCTCAATCAGTGACATGAGTTTACAAGTCAAAGGTCACTCCATGCGGAATATTTCCATTGATTGACTTCGGCCCTGAAGCAAATACAGTAGTTGTGGTGAATCTTTTTCAGCATTTTAGAACCTGGTGTGACCAGACCTGTAGTTATTGTAGGAAAACTAATTAAACATGTTGTTAGATGTGTTCATTAGACTGTTCCCTCTCTATGTTGTTTCAGATGTAATTTGTACAGCACTTGGTTTCCATGAAACAATACTGTACATTTGATATCAGGTATAAATTGAACAAATTAAAGTAGTATATAAATGGAATTTCTAGGAGACAGTTGCTCTGGCCGTCCTGACTGAACCTGTGGGTCTAACGCTGTCTCGGCTGCTTGGCTAAGTTTGTCGTCACTTGTGTTGTTTGTCGTCTCAGTGAGTATCTCTGTTTGTCTTTGTTATGTTGGCTTTCATTAAAGAGTACTTGAGTGCCTTATCTTCTAGCCTTGCTGCTGTGATGTACAAGTGTACTGCCGGATGTGTCAGTACACTATGACATCACTGCTGGGTGTGGTTACAGGAGAAGAGAGAGGACAGAGAAACGCTGCTGTTCACTCTGATGTTAAGTTCCTTACCGTTTAATGTGCTATGTGTGTTATTTTAGCCACTGCCATCATTATGTCAATGTTTTCATAGATTGGCTCAGAGTCAAAATATCCAAGCAACTAATTGCACAACAAACTACATGCCATATTTTAATGTGAGAATGTATGAATGAATGTAAATAACGTAAAAAAGCTGAAATTTTAAGCAATAAAACGGATCTTCTCTGTGAAACACAGGCAGGAGTTTTGCTGATATGACTTCTTTTGGTGTGTAGTGACCATTAGCTGATGTTGGCTAATTTTGTATAAAATGTAGGTAGAAACTGTTATGTGACTGATATAACAAGTATTCAACTATTTTCCTCCAGTGCTACTATGGGCAGATTATAACAAAGTGTTCCCCTGGGCACAGACATGAAAAAGGCCCCCACCCCTCCTACTGAGTCTCTTTGTGGTTCTTTTGAGTTTCTTTGCAGTGGTTATGTGTCTCTTTTGAGTTTTTTGTGTATGTGTATGGTCATCTTATGTTTCTTTGTAGTTTCTGTGTGTCTCTTTGTGGTCATCTTGTGTCTCTTTGTGGTTGTCTTGAGTCTTGCTGTCTTGTTGTTTTGAGTCTCTTTGTGGTGGTTTTGTGTCGCTTTGTGTTTTTTTTGTGTATATGTACAGTGGATATAAAAAGTCTACACACCCCTGTTCAAATGCCAGGTTTTCGTGATGTAAAAAAATGACAGCAAGACAAATAATTTCACAACTTTTTCCACCTTTAATGTGACCTATAACCTGTACAATGCAACTGAAAAACAAACTGAAACCTTTAAAGGGGAAAAATATAAAATAAAAAACTTAAAAGAACGTGGTTGCATAAATATGCACACCCTTAAACTAATACTTTGTTGCAGCACCTTTGGCTTTTATTACAGCACTCAGTCTTTTTGGGTAGGAGCCTATCAGCGTGGCACATCTTGATGTGGCAATATTTGCCCACTCTTCTTTGCAAAACTGCTCCAAATCTGACAGATTGCGAGGGCATCTCCTGTGCACAGCCCTCTTCAGATCACCCCACAGATGTTCGATGGGATTCAGGTCTGGACTCTGGCTGGGCCATTCCAAAGCCTCAATCTTATTCCAGTGAAGCCATTCTTTGGTTGATTTAGATGTGTGCTTTGGGTCATTGTCGTGCTGAAAGATGAAGTTCCTCTTCATCTTCAGCTTTCTAACAGAAGGCCGAAGGTTTTGTGCCAACACTGACTGGTATTTGGAACCTGTTATTAATTCCCTCCACCCTGACTAGGCCCCAGTTCCAGCTGAAGAAAATCAGCCCCAAATGATAGCTGCCACCATCATACTTCACTGTAGGTATGGTGTTTCTTTTGGTGAGTGGCAGTGTTGTTTTTGCACAAATATACCTTTTTGGAATTACGTCCAAAAGGTTCAACTCTGGTTTCATCAGACCATACACAATTTTCCCAAATGCGTTTGGAGATTTCAGATGTCTTTTTGCAAAATTAAGCCGGGCTTTGATGTTTTTCTCTTGTAAGATAAGGCTTCCGTCTTGCCACCCTAACCCCATAGCCCAGACATATGAAGAAGACGGGAGATTGTTGTCAACATGTACTACAAGCCAGTACTTGCCAGAAATTCCTGCAGCTCCTTCAGTGTTGCTGTCGGCCTCTTGGCGCCTCCCTGACCAGTTTTCTTCTCGTCTTATCATCAATTTTGGAAAGGATGTCCTGTTCTTGGTAATGTCACTGTTGTGCCATATTTTCTCCACTTGATGATGACGGTCTTCACTGTGTTCCATGGTATATTTAATTCCTTGGAAATTCTTTTGTAGCCTTCACCTGACTGATATCTTTGAATAATGAGATCCCTCTGATGCTTTGGAAGCTCTCTGCGGACCATGGCTTGTGCTGGAAGATGTGGCTACAAAAATGTCAGGAAAAGCCTACTAGAACAGTTGAACTTTATTTGGGGTTGATCAGAGGCACTTTATTTGGTGACAGGTGTGTGCTGACTCCAATTTAACATGAGTTTGAATGTAATTGGTTAAATCTGAACACAGCCACATCCCCAGTTATAAAAGGGTGTGCACACTTATGCAACCACATTATCTCAGTTGTTTGTTTTTACTTTACCTCCCTGAAAGATTTCTGTTTGTTTTTCAATTGCGTTGTACAGGTTATAAGTCACACTAAAGGTGGAAAATGTTGTGAAATTATTTATCTTGATGTAATTTTTTTTACATGACAAAAACCTGGCATTTGAACAGGGGTGTGTAGACTTTTTATATCCACTGTAGGTTCATCTTACATGTCTTTGTAGATTCTTTCTTTCTCTTTGTTGTTCTTTTGAGTCTCTGTAGTGGTTTTGTGTCTCTTCTTAGTTTCATGTGTATTTTTTTGAAGGTGAAGACTAGGGTGTCCCTAATATATTTGGTCCCTGGACTTGTGCCCAATCATTAATGGATCCATGACTGCCGCACTAGACATTTCAGCATTTTCCATGATCTTGTTATGGTCACTGCCGTTGCAGTTCAGGAAAATTTGCGTAGGCTCGCTAATTTGTATTTTTGTTGTTTGGCTCAAGAAGCTCTACCGTGCTGCCAGGGAGTTCAGAGTCAGAGAGACAAACACATTAAAATATGAACTAACATCAGTCAAATAGTTGAGAGCCTACCATCCTGTGATATCAATACGAGATGCTGCACATACCACCTTTACTCTCTGTTTTAATGAAGGGTTTTTGCCTCATGGACGAGATCTCTGTTGATGTTGCTGCATCATTTTTCCTGCAGTCAAACCTCTGGAAATGTCTGAGCTTGCTTGATCTGTGTTGAGTCTCTGTCGAGGCTGCTCTGTTTGGATGTCTCTGTTGATTTCAGCCTGAATAGATCCAAGAACAGCATGAACTGATTCTGCATGCCGCGCTCTGCCGATGCCTCAGCCCCAAGTCTGTTTGGCTTCCAGACAAGCTCCAGGGTTTCTTCTTATAACACGTTTCCTATCTTCTTCTGTGTGTCCTCCACAGCCCAGAGTGTGATATCAGAGGAGAAGGGTCAGTGTCACCGGGTCCTGGGCTCAGGTCAGGGTCCATCCTCCTGCTCCTTGCCCATCCTCAGGAACATCACCAAACAGATATGCTGCTGCAGCCGAGTCGGCAAAGCCTGGGGACCCGACTGCCAGAGGTGTCCTTACTTTGGTTCAGGTTGGTTAGCTCGCACTTGGCGATTAGGGAAGCTAACCCATTAACCTACTAGCCAACTGATAATTTAATGCCATGGGCAAGAGACTGCAGACCAGTTCTTATCTGTAGAACATTTCGCACCGCAGCAAAGCAGGATCATGGAAAATATATCAAATCATGAATCAGCTCAACTCAGATAAGATCAGTCCTGGAGCTGGTAGCATGGGAACTCAGACTACTTCTTTTTTCAAACATCATTTGGCTGAATCAAAGCTTTTGCCCTTATCACGGGTCAAACCGGAATAACAGTTTAAAAACCATTTTATATACATTTTCAAACTAAATACAAGGCATCCTGTAGGATAACTGCATCATTCAGTAATTGAGCCTTCATCATGTCACCTGTATTATTTCCTTTCTTTGCTTCACACTTTAGGCTTTATCTCTGGGTAAAATCCAAACAAATCAAACCAAAAGAACAAACCATAAATCCAATTCAAGTGTTATTTCTATCATATTGTATCAAAATTATTGAAAGTTCAGCTCTTCATTCAGTCCATCTGATAATAGTGTGTTTAATTTATTTATCCTGTTTCAATAGATCCAGATTGGCAACTTGTTAATTCAATGTTTTCACACCTTAAAAGTGCCGACTATAAATTGTGTGTTACTCTGTTCTTTTGGTTGGTCCACCACTTTGGTTCAGACTGAATAATCTCAGCAGCTATCAGAGAGTAATGAAATATGGTTCAGTTTAGGGCTGGGACGATTATCCGACGTAATCGACGTTGTTGATTATAAAAATTATTCAACGTGGAATTTTAGTGTCGACGCGTCGTGTAAAACCACACAGGGTAAATGTTCATAGAACAAAAGCGGAACTTTCTAATGGGACCGTTTATATCCATCTTCTTTGGTTTACCCGGATACAAGCGCAGCGCAAGGGCTGGGACAACGCGGTGACGTAATTGAAGTCATTGACTACGTGAATGATTTGCGTCTGTGTAATCTATCTGAACAACATGGCAAAAAAAAAAAAAAAATCTGAACAACATGGCGTCGTCTACCAGCAGTACGACGGAGCGTGTGGAGCAACACGCGGCAAAAAAGGCTCGCACACGGTCCTCCAAAGTTTGGGAATACTTTAATCTTGACACCAACAGTGCGGTAGTCTGCAGACTCTGCAAAGTGCATCTTCATTTGTGTGTGTGTGTGTTGAACGGGGCAAATTGTTATATTAACTGACTAACTGGAAAATAATTGCAATAAAATTACTGTTAGGTTAATAAAAAAAATAATAGTTAGATTAGTAGAATAATCGAAAAAATAATTGCTAGATTAATTGTTTAAAGAATAATCGTTTGGGACAGCCCTAGTTCAGTTGTTCATGTTCCCCTGATGAAGAACTGTAATAACTTGGATCATCCTCTGACTTTTCATCCAGCACCATCATCAGGTCATTAACGTTTTAATTTGTCCAATATTGTTGTTACTGACTGCTTCCTAAAGATCATACAGACCTGAGGTGTTTCTGTTCTTCAAAGGAGCTATTTGTCAGTTCTGCTATTTGCTACATAGCTAACGTTAGCATTAGCAGCTATTTACTCACCAGTGTAGAAGAAGTGTGAGTTCAGCATCAAACTTCATTCCTTTACTTACCAACAGCTGTCTCCAGAGGTGGTAGCGACTCACTGTAGCGTCCAGTCTGCCCTGAAGACGAAGCTGCTAAGAGGATGTGCTGTAACTTCTTGTATCATAAAGACAACAATCGCTGAAGCTCTTGTCATGTGACAACCACTGCCATCTGCTCTCTGCAAGAAACCATGTTCAGCAGCAGCAGAGAAAACTTACATAGACCCTTCAAGCAGTGGTTACAAATCGGCAGAAGTTATTTAAAATCCACAAGTAATTTTATTTACAATGCAATAATTCACCAGCACAGCAAGAGTCATGTCAACATGAATGAAACTCAACATTGCTTCAGTATTTTCAAATTAAAAGCCCTACAGCCTTCCTTTTATCAGTAGGCTTTTAATGTGAAAAAGCATCAGGAAGTGTTACATTTTGTTGACGGTAACATAATCAGGAGCAGGGCAAAAAAGAAATGATACGTTAACAATGTAACAGAGTATGAAAACATTAATTCTGTTAGAGAAGAGGTGAGGTGCGTTAGGGTTAGGGTTAGATGTGTGTGATGTGTTAGAGCTGTGGACTTTATACAGGTACAAGTAATTTCACCTTCAATGTGTGTGTGTTTTCTTTTTTTTTAGCTTCTTATTTGTTCAAGGGCTGTTATCTGAGTACCAGCTTTCAAAGGAGAATTTACAGTATTCTGTAGCTAACTGAAAGAACAGGAATGGTGAGTTTAGTCTTCCTGGTTCTTGTGCTGCAGTGGTTTAATTGAAAACCAGACAAGAGTTAATTATAATCGCCCTCCCTGCTGGAGATGAAATGAGTGAGTTTCTATATATCTGGAAATGAAGGCTCTGGTTCTGTCTCTCTGTTTCAGGTGATGACTGTTTCTATATTAACTGAGATGCGTTATCACTTCTCCCTCTGTGTCCGCCTGCAGTGGCCTTTAAGGAGATCTGTCCAGCCGGTCCTGGTTATCATTACTCAGCTTCAGCCCTGCAGTTCAACCAGAGAGTAACCCAACAGCTGGGGGGACGAGGGGCCCCACTGGTACCCCACGGCAGCCAGGAGAACCAGGGTAGCTACAGTAGACCAGCCTGAAACATACTGTGTGTCGATAACAACACCACCTGTGTGTTTTAACACGTTTTTATTTAAGACTGGGGTTCAGTTTCTGAGGTTGTGTTCTGATCTTTCTCATGTCATGGAATTGTTTTGCTGGTGGCTTTGAAAGGTCGGCAGTGACAGTTATTTGATTAATCGATTACTCTGATCAACAGAAAATTAATCATTATCATTTTTGAAGAAACTGCTTCTTAACTGTGAATATTTTCTGGTTTCCTTTAGTCCCCTGTCATAATAATGTGAATATCTTTCTTCATCACTTCACAACAAACTGTGATGGGCAGTTTATCACATTTTATAAACCAATCTATTAATTAAGAAAATAATCTTTAGATTAATTCATACTAAAGATAATCTTGATGGGTCGCTCCAACACTTTGGTCCGGACTGAAAATATCTTTGAGTTTTTCAAGCAAAAGTCCCAAACATATAATTGTTCCAGCATTGAGTCCCCCAAGTTTGCATTGACTTTATATGATAGGCCAGGGCTCCAGAATGCAACCAGAACCTAAACATCTTCACCAGTGTGCCTGACATTTAATCGGTCTGTGTGTAGTGTTATTTTTTTCCCAGGCGTCCCTACTCTGCCTCTGATTGGCTCTGACCCTGAGAGTCTTCTCTGCCCTGTGCTCCTCCTCGAGGGACATCACAGCCATAAAACACACTGCTAATTCAAAATTAAGAGAATTATTGATTGTTTTTTCATCAACAAAAAAGTTTCAAGGCTTGTTACGCCTGTCGCCAGTGACAGCCAGAGCTGGGGACACACTGTTTTCAGGTTGTCCTTCCGTCCCATTCTTGTGGACACGTTATCTCAGTAACCACAAGGAGGTGATTTTAGTTACAACTCTACATTGACCTTAGGGGCCCACCACAGACCCGACATCATCAGTGGAGGTATCTGCTCCACCACATGTAGATCAGTGGTGGAGGAAGTATTCAGATCTTACTTAAGTAAAAGCACTAGGACAGTAATGTAAATATACTCTGTTACAAGTAAAAGTCCAATGCAACCAATGTACAAAGCAAGTCTAGAGCCCTGAAAACAGTGACCCAGCCTCTAAAACTCTTGTTTGACTCAGATGAGGGTCGAGTCTTTGCTGGACTGGATTTCAATGAGACCTAGCTGTAAACTGATTACTCAGGACCCCTGCACAAACCATTCATCTATACTTAATTTGCCTCCACCCCCTCTCAGGTCCTGATTCCGGTGCCAGTAGCAGCGGATCCTCCAGGTCTCAGCAGAAACCTTCGACCTCTGGAGCGACAGCTGGTGGAGCAAGTACTTTACTGGACTCTGCTTCGAGTGTTGGCTCCAGCGCTGGATCAACTGGCACCAGCAGTATCCAGACTAGACCCAGTCTACCTCAGCCTCAACCCCGGCCTCCGCCTCAGTCTCCGTCTCAGCCTCAGACCCGCCCGGCTGCTGGCTCTCCCCCCTACAGACCAGTACAGCCTGGCAGCACCGACACCACGGGCACCCACGTCAAACCCCAGACTCCTGGCAGAACTGGGACCCAGCAGAGCTTTCCTGAATCTGCTCCATCATTCACAACACAACCAAGACCACAGCCTCCGTCCACTGGGAGTCAAGGTAACAGAGGCTCAGAGCAGCAGATCACAGCAGGAGTAGGAGTCACACTGCCAGATATCAGCCTGATGAATCAGCTGACCTATTAATCGAACTATCACTACTTTTTTCCCTACGTTTTTTTGTTATGTTTTCATTGTGTATTTTCTGGTCTCAGCAGGTGCTCGTCCCTCCACTGTGTCCCGACCAGACCATTCACCAGCCAGAGGGGACTCGCTCCCCGCTCCGGCCCAGCCGCAGAGCCCTGAGCGTGGCTCGAGAACCAGCGCAGAACTCCCTCCTCTGCAGAACAGACCACCTGTCAGCCCGACCAGCAGACCGACCAGAGTCCAGAGTGAGTTCCAGCAGACACAAGCACAGCTGGAGCAGAAAGGACAGATGTTTGAAGGTCCTCCTGCTGGATCCAGACCACCAGGGTGTCCTCAGTTCTGTTTTCTAAAATTGTTTATACGCTAAAACAACTTCTGCATTAGTGTTTAGTTTGTAAAGCAGTAACACACACACACACACACACACACACACACACACACACACACACACACACACACACACACACACACACAGTTACTGCACACTCACAACGTCTCAGCCCACCCCCCAGGTTAACAAACAGACAACTGTACTAATCTGAATAATGTATCATAATTTAATTCCTGTTTTTTTTTTTGCAACAGCAGTGCGAGGTGTGTGCGAGAGCAGACCAGGTGTGTGTGGGCGTGGCCGCTGTGTGGATCAGCCAGGTGGGAAACACACCTGTGTGTGTTATCAGGGATACCAGCCCAACTCTCAGCACACACACTGCCAAGGTGAGACACACAAACACACACACACACACACACACACACACACACACACACACACACACACTTACACAATAATATTTGGATAGTTTACTGATTTATTTTTTCAGATCTTTCACTACTATTTTTCAGCTATATTGCTGATATTTTACTGATAATTTTCAGATATCTATATATTGATATTGATACATATACATATACAAAAATTAACATAAAGTCTAATTAACAAATATTTTTTAATTTTATAATTGATTGTAATATAATTTTTTTGGCAACTGTATCATCTATATAGAGCTCATTTGTTCAACACAGTCCTTCAAAGCTGAGTCAGTGTCACACAGAGATAAATAATTGTACATACTGGTGTGTGTTCATGTCTGTTAATAACTCTGAGTGTTTGTATCTGTGTGTGTGTGTGTGTGTGTGTGTGTGTGTGTCTGTGTGTGTGTGTGTGTGTGTGTGTGTGTGTGTGTGTATGTGTATGTGTGTGTGTGTGAGTGTAGATGTGAATGAGTGTGTGCAGTCTCCAGGTGTGTGTTCAGTGGGAGAGTGTGTGAACACCATGGGAAGCTACAGATGTGTGTGTCCGTCTGGATACAGGAGCAGCAGCCAGCAGACCAGTTGTCAAGGTGACGTGGACTTCCTGTTGGTTTGTCATGTGTTCAGACTGTTTGTGCTGCATCACACAGTAACAACAGCAGCTCACTCTCTCCTTCCCTCTCTCTCTCTCTCGCCCTCAGACATTGACGAGTGTCAGCTGAACCCCTGCAGGAATGGGCGCTGTGAAAACATGCCAGGCAGCTACAGATGTGTCTGTCGCCTTGGTTACAGACTCACTGGCAACACCTGCACAGGTAAGGATTTACACTAAAGCCTGATGCAGACTACTAGACTTGATTATCTGTCCCAGATGAAAAAGTCTCTCAAGTAGGCACAGAATCTAAAATTATGATAGTTGAAGTAAATGGGTATATATATATATATATATATATTAAGTATATTTATTGTCACAATGACCAATAAACCAAAGATACAATAGGCAGACTGCACAGCACACATTGTGATTTAGAATGAGGATGATTAGAATTAGGATAGTCACAGTAGCTAGTGGCTGAGAGGCCAAGTGCCAGGTAGTGGTACTGATACCAATGTTAATTAGCTAATGCCAATGCTTTTGAGGTACTTGTACTTTACTTGAGTATTTTTCATTTTGATGTTAATTGATACCTCTAACACTGCCAGCTGGAATTAATTTTCACTTCAAAAACATATGAACAACTTTTAAAATGTGATGTATTGTCACAGATTAAACAATGTGATCATGCACCTTACATGTAAAAATGAAAATAACAGTTAAAAGTTAATGCATCAAAAATAATCAAAAATGACAATCATAATATTATAGCACATTGAAAGGGATCATTCTGTATAAAGACTTTTGCTGCTGCAAGGAGGTTTTGTTAATAAAACCTGGTAATTAAAAGTAGCAGTACCACACTGTAGAAATACAATAATACAATATAATATAATATAATATAATATAATATAGCAATTTGGTCCATCTCATGTAGTATATTAGTACAGTATATCATTGTATTGTAATTATTGATGCATTAATGTGTTGATCACTTTATTGTTGCAGATGATAAAGTGCTGGGCAGCTTCTGAATCCTCCCAAGATCTATACAGTCTTATCTTAACCTAAAATAAGACATTGTAATTGATTTGTTGATGATATTTTGTTTTATTAATCTTAATCTTCAAAGTAATTAAAGATTTCAAAGAAATTTAGAGCATTAAAAATATCTCTGTATGAAGTGAAGTGGAGTAGAAGTATAAAGTAGCAGAAAATAGAAATACTCAAATACAGTACAAATACCTCAAAATTGTACTTAGGTACAGTGTAATTGAGTAAAACAAGTACAAACATTCACTTGGACTGAAGGATGTACTGATTAGATTTTGGTGGTCTATGGTCAAAGGTCAAGGTCAGTGTGACCTCACAAAACACCTTTTAGCCATAACTCAAGACTTCACAGCAATTATGACAATATTTCACACAAATTGTTCATATTTTCTATGACTGGATAAACAGGGATGTGACCAGGAAGTAGTCTGAGTGGAGGTAGAGATAGTATTGGCTGAAATCTGAGTCTTGTAGTAGTGTCCACTCAGTTTAACACAGTGAATGTGATGTGAAAAATGTGTGTAAACGTGTGTGTGTGTGTGTGTGTGTGTGCGTGTGTGTGCGTGTGTGTGTGTGTGTGTGTGTGTATGTGTGTGTATGTGTGTGTATGTGTGTGTTTGTGTGTGTATGTGTGTGTTTGTGTGTGTGTGTGTGTGTTTCAGATGTGGATGAGTGTGAGGACCCTCTGCAGTGTCCAGGTCAGGAGTGTATCAACAGTCCTGGTTCGTATCGCTGCGCGTCCTGTCAGCCTGGATATGGACTGCTCAACAGGCTCTGTACAGGTAACACCCACCTGTCATGTGTAAGTGTTTTTTTTCATTATCAATTAATGTACCTATCATTTTCTTAATTAACTGATCAATCATTCATGGGATGAAACATCAGAAGACAGGATCCCACAGTGACCTGATCAAATATCTTGTTTTGTTCCAGCAACAGCAAAAATATAAAGATAATTAAATTTAAATTTAAATTTAAATTCGCTAAATTGATTATCAGAATAGTTGCTGATTAATTTAATGTTGATCATGAAATGTCAATCAACTAATCAAATGAGCTGCACAACATGTGTTGTGTTGAATCACTCAATCCTCACGCAGGACAGTCAGACACCTCATAAAGTGACAGTGAATCATCAGTCACATGACAACAAGCTGTGTCAGACAGCTGTTTCCTGCCTGATGATGATGAATGATTGTGTCCACAGTCACAAGCTGCTTCTCTCATCATTCTGCTGTTGTGACTATCTGCAGACATTGACGAATGCCGCCAGGCTCCCTGCTCCAACGGTCGCTGTGAAAACACAGCTGGAAGCTACCGCTGTGTCTGTCACCATGGTTACAAGCTCCACAACAACAACTGTACAGGTAAAGAGAAAGACCCAAACCTTCCAACCAGATTCTGAACTCACCTCAGACACTGATGGTCTATAAGACGTTTTCATCTTTTCTTGGTAATCATATTTGTGATGTACATAGAGAAACTTGTTTATTCAGGTTGATGTGCTGTTACTGACCAGATTCACATGAGCTGGTCTGAGCACAGGAAACTTCCACAACAGGTCAGACTGCAGCAGGTAAATGTGTCAATATAACTGATGATTCACAAGAATAAAAAACAGAATTAAAGTAGAAAGGCAATGCAGTCAAATTCATTACATAAATAAAAAACAAAACAGTGCAGCAGCCAGTCATAATCAGTGTCAACTTACATTCAAGTTAAATGAACACCTCATGCCTGTTCATTAAAATAATTACATGTTCATTAATAATAATAACTATTATTGTATTTTTATTGAGAGGAGCAGAACTGACCTTGTGACGTCAGTAACTTCTCTGAACCAGCCTCCTCCTGTTGTTTGTGCAGTTCTTCCTCAGTAGATTTACATGTTGGTTAATCTCCATAAAAATCACACAGAGACAAACACCTGCAGAAGAAAGTTAGGACAATGAGTCAAAGTGTGTTTTAAAGGAAAGGTCTGACATTCTGGGACAAACTCTTTCTCTCTGCGAGTTAGTGTAAGGCAATGGTTACACTTTGGGCCATAGGCTGACAAATCATTTGCAAAACAGTACAATTTTGGTGAAGAGATGTTATTATAATAAAAAATGTAGGCTACATTTAATTGTTTTAAAACAAAACAATCTTTAAAAGCATTAAATATATTTTCTTCTTGTAGCTGATCACTGTGATAAGTCAATGACAGGAACTTTTATGTTGGTGTCACCGGACCACATCATATACCTGTTTGCTATCTCAGTCTGACTGTCCATTAAAAGATCACATCCATGGTAAAAACTAGACAATCAACATGGATAGCTAGTTAGCAGCAGGAAGACTTAAAAAGAAAGAGTCAGAGACAGATGGTGAATCTACAAGTGATCTCTCCTCTGTCAAACCAAAAGGAAAACTGAGCTTCCCCTTCTTCCAGTTCGGTCCTGAAAGTTTGATCATTATCACTAAAATAAAAAGTGCTCTGAGACCGTATTAGCATTATTTAGCCTCTGTATTGTTACAACATTTTTGAGATTTTCAAGTGGCCTTGAGTTGGAAAAGGTTGGGAACCACTACTGTAAGGTTTTGTGTTTCTTTTTCTGGATCCACAAAGCAGAACAGATCAGGTAGAGTGAAAACAGTTGTAAGCAGGTTGAGCTGAGTTATTGAGGGTAACTTGTAGATGTGTGAGAGGGGAAGTCCACAAAACACAGAGCAAAAGATACGAGAGCTGAGGTTGGCCATGACGTATGTACCACACAATGTGACTGAGTGATCTGGTAGAGAATGAAGAGATGAGCCGGGATTAAAAGCTGCTGCAGGGTGTGCAGTTAATTGGCAGATGAGGAACAGGTGTGCATGGGAACTGGCAGGAGTTGGAACTGCACACGCGCACACACACACACACGCACACACACACACACACACACACACACACACACACACACACACAAAACAGACCAGGGACAAACAAAACACATTAGGGAGGTGAAAGCAGCAGGAAAACAACGAACAACGAGAAGAGAGTGAGAGAGGTCTAATCCTAACAGTTAGAAGTTGACTTACTGATGAACATGTGTGAATGTATGTGTTCAGATGTAGATGAGTGTGCAGAGCCGTCTCAGTGTCCAGGTCAGATGTGTGTGAACTCAGTGGGATCGTACCGCTGTTTGTCTTGTCGGCCGGGATACACACTGACCAACAGACAGTGTTCAGGTACACACACACACAAACACACACACACACACACACACACACACACACACACACACACACACTCACACACACACACACACACACACACACACACACTCACACACACACACACACACACACACACACACACTCTCTCTCTCTCACCCCTCTCTCTCTCTTTAGATGTGAATGAGTGTGATAACAGCGAAACTTGTCCTGGTCAGCAGTGTGTGAACACTGAAGGATCCTACAGCTGTGTGGACTGTCAGCAGGGATACCACAGTGTGAATGGAGTGTGTTCAGGTACACACACACACACACACACACACACACACACACTCTCTCACACACACACACACACACACACACACACACACTCTCTCACACACACACACACACACACACACACACACACTCTCTCACACACACACACACACACACACACACACACACTCTCTCACACACACACACACACACACACACACACACACTGATTTTGGGAACAGTAGAACCTAGATTTGGTGTCAGAAATTATATGCACTAACTGTACTTAAAGTCATATTTTAATTCCTATAAGGTGTGTGTGTGTGTGTGTGTGTGTGTTTCTGTGTGTGTGTGTGTGTGTGTGTGTGTGTGTGTGTGTGTGTGTGTGTGTGTGTGTGTGTGTGTGTGTGTGTGTGTGTGTGTATGCGTGTGTGTGTGTTTGTGTGTGTCAGATGTGGATGAGTGTGTGCAGGTATCTCAGTGTCCTGGTCAGCAGTGTGTGAACACTGTGGGGTCGTACCTCTGTGTGTCCTGTCAACCTGGATACAGCAGGAATGATGGCTCCTGCCAAGGTAACACACACGCACGCACGCGCACACACACACACACACTTGCTGTATCAATGATCAGTTGAATTAATAAAGAAAAGTGAAACACAGCTGTTTTGGTGGTGAGTTATTATTAGAGGGGCACTGGGGGAGTTTCTTTCCTCTCATGGTTTCATTTGTATCTAGAAAAATAAATGATCTGATACAAAACCTGTACAGATAAAACCCAGAGAGATGAGACAACTCTGAGAAAGTGTCTCAACTCCCAGTGAGTACTTCAGCCCTGCAGTCAGGTAAACAGAAAGACATGTGTGAGTCTGTTGACAGGACACATGACAATGTAAATGAGATCAGTTGATCTTCTTATTGTTATGAATGTTTAAACCACAGGGGTTTTATATATTCATACCTGATACTTTTGATCTGTACCTGAAGCTTCACTGGTGGCAGTGAAACTGTCATCCAGAAAGTTAAGTGTGTGTGAGACGAGAAGTTGACGGTCCAGAAGACTCTGGACCAAATCACACTCTTCCCTCTCTCCTGCAGATATAGACGAGTGTGCGAGTACAGGGGCGTGCGAGCCTGAGCGAGTGTGTGTGAACACTGTCGGGTCGTTCAGGTGTGACTGTCCTCCTGGGTATCGAACCTCCGGCCTTGGGAGACAGTGCAGAGGTGAGTAAGGTTCACTGTCTGAACATCATGTACAACAACACTCGACTCTAATGTGACCAGTGGACATATGAGTCCAGCTCATATATAACTCAAATAAATAAGGTTACCCTAATAACTGATGATTAATGGTATTAAGATAATCTGTCAAATGTGTGTGTGTGTGTGTGTGTGTGTGTGTGTGTGTGTGCGCGCGCGTGCGTGTGTGTCCTCAGACATTAACGAGTGTTTGGAGAGTGATTTCTGTTTCTCTGGAGGAGAGTGTGTGAACACACCTGGATCCTACTCGTGTGTGTGTTCTCAGGGATTCATGCTGAGTGACAACAGGACGTCCTGTCTCGGTGAGTCACGGTCCAACATGATGGATCCCAGAGTAACCGCTTGGACTATTTATTCTCCTCTCCTGCAGTGTGTGTCATTCTGAGTGTTAGAGAAAACTTTCCATTAGTTTTAGTTATAATGTGTGTTTTTGCCTGATCCACTGAATTAAATTAAATTATTGCCATGAATCAGTCCTACTCATGGAAGATCCTCTCTCATCCATCTCAAACCGGTTTGTTCCTGAGTGTCACATACAAATGATTTTACAGTTTGTGACATTCAGGTCTCTTGCAGTCAGAGTTTTTCCTGAGCTGAAAGCGGTCCAGACCTCAGTCTGACTTCAGAGTTGTAATGTTTCAGTCTGACACATTTCTCACATTTCAGTACATACCTTGGTTTCGAAATCCATGGTTTACAGTTCTTTTCAATTGCTAACGAGCATTGGTCAATACTGAAACTACTTTTTCAAAACTCTTCACACAGTCTGCATTACAAACATGCATCTCAGCTAAACAGTTCATCTCACCTCCAAAACTCTTTCTCACCAACAAAACACATCATACATGTCTCAAAATAAGCTCATTCATCCACAACACTGGCAACAAGTCTCACTCAGGAAGCAAACACTGTCAATCTTTGCACACTGAACTACAAAATACTAACAACAGAGAGCATTACATAAAAGACATTTTATCTTTAAAGTTTGAAAGATTTTTTTTCACATAAATCAGTGTTTTATTATAGAATTAGATCTTTGCACTTTATTGAGTGTACTCAATTATTGTATATTGTATATTGTAACAAGAATGAATCATCAATGCAGTAATTTGCTTCAATTACATTTATTTTTTCTATATCTTTGCATAGTGATTTACAGTACTTCATGTATAACATATTCACTCCCTCTCTTCTGCATTTGGCCACGTTTTCATCAACATCACATTTCGTCTTGTCATCACATTTCGTCTTGTCTTCTCTGGCAGTGCACTTTGGGAAGAATCTTTTAGAATGTCTGATCTAACCCTGGCAGGCTTCAGGAGAAATATCTCCACACTCTGCATTCATGACATCCAGCAAGGACAGCTGGTCATGTGGAGAGTGGTCATAAACCTTCCACCTCCATGCGAAGAAAAACTCTTCTATGGGGTTCAGGAAGGGCAATTATGAAGGCAAGAAAAGGACAGACATCCCGGGATGTGCAGCAAACCAGTCAGTGACCGCAGCAGAGTGGTGGAACACCACATTATCCCACACAACAACCGATGTTGTGTTTCTTGCCCTTTGACCTCTTTCGCCCACTGGCACAAGTTGATTACAGAGGTCAATCGAGAAAGAAATGAGCCTCTCTGTATTGTAGGGACCAATGAGAGGTTTGTACAAAAGCAAACCATGATTGGAGAGGGCTGCACACATTGTAATGTTTGCTCCTCTGTGGCCTGGGACATCCACAATTGCCCGCTGCCCAATGAAGTTTCATCCTCTGCGGTGTGTTTTTGCCAGGTTGAATCCGGCTTCATCCACAAAGATGAATATATGTGGAGTTGGTCTGGCCTCCATTTCCATTACCATCTAAAATAAAGTAAATCCACAGTTTTAGTACAGCACATTATGCATAGATATGCATATATTCTGTTTGGTTATTGAACAGACATCTTACCTGGACTTAATGACAATGGAGTTCTTTCACACGTTCTCCATTTCTTTCAAATGGTACTGTGTACAACTGCTTCATCCTTATTTTATGTTTTTCAAGGACTCTGGCAATTGTTGTGCTGACCGTGTTCACATTGGCAAAAATAACATTGTCTGCCAGCACTCTGTCCCGAATTTCTCTCAGTTTTATGGCATTGTTTGCAATACCTATATCAATGAGAGCAGTTTACTGGGGATCTGAAAAAAATCGGCCTCTCCCTCCTGTAGGAGGCAACCTTTGAATCCTACATACAGTAATATAAAACACAAAACAATCAATATATTTAAAAAATTTAAAAAATAGTGTACTCTACTGTAAAATGTAGTTCAATACTTGAGAGATGCATGTCTCACCTGTTGTTTTGCCGGAAGATTCTTAATATTGATGCAACTGTTGAACGCCGCAAGTTTGGCTGCACCCTTAAACTGGTCAATAATTGTGTAAACATGGCTGCACAGAGCTCCAGGCGTGGAATGGTGTGGGCAGGATGGGGTGCTAATTTCGATTTCCCCATGACAAATCCAATGTGATACTGTCCCTCAGTATCAACAGTCCTCAGTTAAGCCACAGCTCCTATAGCTACTGTGGAGGCATCTGAAAAGATGCACATTTCTTTTTTCTGCATTGAAGACAGCAATACTGGACTGTAGCACCTCTGTACCTGCTCTCTGAGCTTACATTTTTCAGTGGATGGGGCTTTTTATGTATTGGACACTGACGATCTGGCTTCTCCAATTTCTTCGGCACAGGACTAGTTTGGATGCTTGATGGCTCTGCCGGGATGTCTGTTTTATGTACTGTCACAGAGACTTTTACGACTAGACTGAAAAGGCTTTTCTGTCCTGGAAGAGACATGACTGCTGGGGGTGGATATAGTGAAACTTGGATTCTTTTTTATCCTTGGCTGTTTTTGAACAAACTTGGAGAAGACAGAGAAGGGAGGAAAAGCCACTCTTTGATCCTGTATGTACTAGCTTCCAATGGCTGACCATTTTTCTTGGAGGTTAAAAGGAAGTTTTTCCACTATTTGTTTAACTCCATGAGCTGTATCCAAATACACAAGCCCTGGTAAAGCACCATCCTGCTTAGCACCCTCCAGTTCCAGGAGAATGTCACTTAGTTCTCTCAGCTTGACATTATCTTTATTGGTCAGCCTCAGAAACTCTTCAATCTTTTTTAGCAGTGCATCTTTGACGACCTCAGGTGTCCCATAACATTCTTCGAGACGTTGCCAAACCATGTTGATACCTGCTGCGGGATTGAGGGTGTGCACTGCACAAATTCTCTTTGCCTGTTCTGACGACTCGGATCCAAACCACTTTGTCAACAGATCCAGTTCTTCCCTGGCTGAGAGATTCAAGTCCTTGTTCAAACCTAGAAAAGAGGCTTTCCATGACCAATAATTTTCAGGTTTGTCATCAAATTGTAGAAGACCAGCACTCACCATTTCTTTGCAGATGAGATATCTTGCAAAGTCTTGTGCACCTTTAGGCTCAGGGAAGTAGTCTTTTTCAGGATTTGCTGTATGCTTTGCACGGTTATGAGTGTAAGTATTGCTTGGACACATATTTATTGTTAGCTCTTTTATGTCTTTGTAGACTGGCAATGTGTTGCATTGATAAGTGGTTGGTTTAGCATCTTGTATTTCCACTTTATTTATTCTTCTCTCACCTTGCTCTACTGCAATGTGTTAAGACATGTCTGGGAAAAGCAGAAACTCAGACTGTTGATGAATGTACTCACTAGTGTATTGGACTGTACTGAAAGGCTTGTCTTCAACGTGGGGCTTCCGACTGAACTCCCTGCTTTTGATTCCAGCTTCCTCAGAGGCTATGGCTTCGGCTTCGGCTTCGGCTTCGGCTGCAGCAGCAGCAGCAGCAGCAGCAGCAGCTCTTTGGCACTGAAAAAGATGGAGGCTAGCATCATAGTCAGCCTTTTACTTTAGCATGCCTGCTTCTATGTCTGCTATCTGCTTCATCATGTCAGCTTCTTTTTCAGCGTAGGCTAGTTGAGCTTGAGCAGCTTTTGCCTTAGCATACGCCTTTGTGGCTGAAGAGGCTTTTAATTATGATAGCTGAGAGGGTCTGGTGGATGCTCTAGGGGTGACTGTGACTTAGCATCAAATGCTCGAGGAAGCTCCCGCCTCTTATTGCTTGATTTACAACCTCTGCTTGTTGTTCTCCAATAGCTTCATTTTGCTGCATTGTGGTGTCTTCTTTAAGATAATTTTTTCCTGAGTGTAGACTCATGTTCGCTGAATAATGCCTTCTAATGCTCGAGCCCGCCGTGCAATCGTCTTTTTACTGTACTGCCCTTGCACCGCGTAATCTTGTGCGAAGCTAGACAGCTAGTGAACATTTAAAAGATCCTCCAATAAACACACAAGGCTTACTCTTCTTGTACTTTACTGAAGTGGTCTTTTGTTGTTGTTGTCATTGCTATTGTTGTTGTAAAAAGATGAATAGTCTCCAAGGCAGAAGCGTGTCAGAAAAACATTTTCACCATGAATTCAATGCTGTATTTCTTGGCTGTCTGCGTTCAACTTAAAACATTAAACTAGCACGGAGAACGGAAGAAAAGCACAGATAGGCTAGCAGAGTACTGAGCGGTAAGAGCACTCACTCCGCCGCTACTTCCAAAGATCAACAAGAGCACAGACGCTCACTCTGATACTGTTTCCAGAACCTATAGTTTTAATCACTTTTTTAACTATGTTTTTTAACTTATTTATTCACTAACTTATTTAACTTATTAAATTAACTTTAAAGTAAGCACAGTGGTCACTGAATGCATCTTGCAGTTTGCTCCATATAGACTCTGTTTTGCTGACTGTGTGAAGAGTTTTGACAATGTGACTACAGTTTTGACCAATGCTTGTTAGCAATTGAAAAAAACTGTAGCGTGTTTTTGGTACAGTGAAAAAATGACATGAAAAACATGACATTTCTTTTAATCTATTGAGAATTTAACTTCTAACCTTAAAGGTGTAATTGTAAATTTGTAAACTTGTAACCCAGTGGCTCACATGGACTCAGGGATGACGTGATTAGATTTCGGTGGCTAAAGGTAAAAGTTCAAGGTCACCGTGACCTCACAAAACACCTGTTAGCTATAACTCACTAATTCATACTACTATATTCACTAATTATGACACAATTTAACTCAAATGTCTATAGGGATAAAATAAAGTGATAGCGTTTCATATTCAAAAGGTCAAAGGTCAACTTCACTGTGACATCACAATGTTCTGTAAAAACACCTCTGGCCATTATTCACTGCTGTAACTCAGGAAGGAGAGACTGACCATGTTTCTTGTAACTTGACAGGTTAGTGGAGGAAACAACCATGAGGTGTAGATTCTAATTCTGAATGAAACTTATGGAGCAATTTCAGGACTTTGGTTACACCAATAATCAAATCTTATGCACTCGTATCTCCTCATTGTGTTCATTCATTTGAAAGTAAGCGAATATTTGGCAGGTTTGTGCAGTCTGGAACATTTACTGAGGGCAGAGATGCATCCCAGTTTTACTTATGGTTAGTCTAAGTGACAGTCCTGTGCACAGCTGTGTGCTCATTCATCCACAAGGGACATCTATATTACAGTCATATATGATCACAAATCTGTGAGTGAGCAAGGTGTTTAGATTTGATTCTTGTAAGTTGTGATCTACTAAGCACTAAACTCACTGTCGTGTTGATGAAACCAGTTTGCAACATGGAGCATTATCCTGCTGGAAGGAGCCATTAGAAGATGGTGAATTGCTGCCATAGGAGTTTATTCACTGCACTGCTGCCATATGATTGGCTCATTGGATAACTGCATGAATAAGCAGGTGTACAGGTGTTGCTAATAAAGTCAAAATCAACTTTATGGATTGATTGTGTTTCACACAGTTCAGTAGGTTCAGATTCTGTCTTTAAATCACAGCAACATGTAGGAGCTTCACTCTGCTGGTTTGGAGTGTGACTCACTCCACTGTAGTTAGAACCATAAATATTCAAAGTCCAGATCCAAGTCCACACAGGTCCAGTAGTGTATGTTAGAGTTGGTAGCAGCCGGTCAGAGGCGGCTGTGGTTCTGCAGACAGAAACACTGAGCTCAGTGTTCATGTGGCTCTGCTGCCAACGGCTGAGCTCTCAGGTCCTCTGTTTCTGCTTTTAGAGCTGATGTAATGCTGATGTCATCTTTGGCCTGTCCTCGTGGTGACTCGTAGATGTGTATATTGTGTGTGTTGCATGTAGTCACGACCTCCCTCTCTCCTTAGATGTGGATGAGTGTCTGAAGCCAGGTGTGTGTTTGGACGGTCACTGTATGAACACTGAAGGCTCCTTCCAGTGCCAGTGTCAAACTGGCTTCACTACCAACCCAGAGAAGACCACCTGCCTCGGTACACACACACACACACACAAAAAACTGTGTCTCACCTCTATCAGCTGTGCGCAGAGATTAAACATTGTCACTCTTAAGGCATAAAAATAATTAAGTACATCATGAGGTACTTGAGTATTCTCATTTTATGCATCCAATTTATATCCAACTTCACTACATTTGAGAGGGAAACAGGTCCTTTTTACTGCACTACATTTATCTGACATATAGTTACTGGTTACTTCCAAACATTTGATCAGCTTACAAGATATCATGTGTCTTATAGGCACATACAGTATATGTAGTCCATTCTTTTTACAGTGTTTACATATTGATCATATCACAGTCTCAGGGTAATAGATTTTCCATACAGCTTACAGTTTGATTGATAGTCACAGTCCAGTTGTCCTTTGTTGTTTGGCTGCAGATGTTCGCATGTGATGACTTTGTTGCTCCAGCCAAGAGTCTTTGTTGTAAGTTTGTATAAGTTTAAGTTCAGACCAGTTTGGAGTGGTTGCAGAAAAACAGCAGAAACAAGTGGAGGGAAATGGGCGAGATCCCTGTAGTGAGAAAAAAAAGACAACCCTCATTTTTATATGTTGCTGTTCATGAAGACGCCGTTTGAAGCACAACACTTATGGTTACAGACCATTAAACAGACAGACAGATGAAATCTCCACTGTTTATCAAACAAAGACATAATCAATGATGTAGTTAATAATGATAAATTAGTAACAGCAGTAACCACAAAGCTGACATTCTTAGTGGGCTGTTTCATAATGGTAAACACTATTGACTAGCATTAGCAACATTAGCACGTAAACAGACATTTATTTCACACTGACTGAGCACGAACTGAGCTGAGCCTTGAGACCAGATGACATCATTAAGTTACAGCATAATGACTGAGGACGACCTACTGCAGATCCAGAGAGTTCTTATTGACTTATTTAACCTTCATCTGACAAACCCTTAAAATAACTGGAGAAGATGTCTGGTTGATCCATATTCCTATGTTGTAAAGGTACCACCTCCAGAATTTAGTCTATCCCGTCTTATTAATTTAAATCTTTCTAACAAAACTGTTTCTAAGACCTGGAGTTGTTAGTTTTAGGTTGAAACCAGTTCAATTTTACCAACTGCAACATTACAGTGAGGCTATGTAGCTCTTGAAAGATTTCACTTACAAATTGAAAGTTTAAGTAATACAAAAGAAATGCACAGACTAGCATGGTAGCTAGTATAAGTACTTTGGTAAATAGGTAAATATTGCTGTGTAACTATCATGAATCTTTCTAAGAGCTTTACAAGGGGAACTGGTAACTTCTTGAAGACATTTGACCTCTCATCAGAGAACTGAAGAAGACTTTCAGATGAGAGGTGAAATGCCTTCAAGAACATCAAGCAAGTCCAGTTGGCTTCATACAACACTTCCAGGCACCATGGTGTAGCACTTGTATCGCTGATACAACCCTATGATGCTACTGGACCAGTTCTAGGCTCTGAAGGAGTGGGGTAATAGCATAAAAATTGGACCGGAGGCCATATACCTTAAATACAAAAGCTGGCACTTTACTGAAGTTCAACACAGAAAGTTAGACAGAAGTAATATGAAAATATAACAGCTGTTCAATAATCCTGCAGGCAAAGTAAAATATAAAATAAAAGGCAAATAGATTCTCTATTTTAAGTTAGACTCTATGTTATTTTAGATTAGACCGGTCTATGAGTAGTTATCTTGGTTTAGGTTAAGGGTTTGTACCTATTTTTGAATTACTTATTTCCTTTGAGTTAACTCTTTTTCCTCCTTTCCCTGGTAAGAAAATAAATTCACAATCTCCAAATCAAAATGAAATGAAACACAATTATACTTTATTCATAAAAACGACAATAATGAACAACAAAGTATAATACATGTAACACTCTAAATCTCAGTTCAAGAGTAAAGGTTCCAACTCAGTTCAGGCAAAAAGGGGAAAAAAGAATGAAAAAGACCAACACTCCTACTGCTCTGGCAGCGAGTTTACCAATAGTTCGACCGTGGCAGTGGATGTCCTCACTGGCGCGATGAAGATAAGTTCTTGTCTATAGAAATGTGGTTCAGGGGCATGGTTCGCCATCTTGTGTCCTGCGTCGTGTGTGTCGTCTCCCTGCACAGCACAGCAAAGAAAGTCCCCAACCAATTTCAATAGGATCAAAAAACCTGACCTGAAGGACAGGCCATGAAAAGAATTAAATTATTTTAATTAATTACACAAATCAAATATGCAAATTTACATCTACCATTTACATCTACTACGCATCCTTGATAAACAGAACACATTAACTGCTAAACAATGTTAATGGCTTCCTCCACACAGCTCGGCATAGGCTCTTTGCTAGCATCCACATGTGCAAACTGTTCAAAACGTAGAAATAAAACATCTCAAAACTCACCAAAAACCGTTGTGGTTAACTCTTGCCTTAGGAGTCTACACTGTCATTACCCTGTGTAGCTCTTGGGAGTTAGATTCTGTCAGTGAGTCTGTAATCACTTCACTCAAACTTTGGAATAGGGACTGAACTATTGTCACTAATGGATTTCCTAGTTCAGGGTAAGTGAATCGTTTAGTGGCTCTTTTGTCTCTGATGGAGCTTCTCAGAGTTTCAGTTTGATCTGTATTATTAGTATCCTCATTCTTTTCCAGGATGGTTTGAGAAGGAGAATGGGCAGTGATAAGTTCCTCTCCAGGTTGGGGTTCAGCTTCCTGTCCAGCAGGTAAGCTGTCCACTTTAGGATTAGGTAAGTTGGTCTCTCCACGTTCAGGTAGGTTTCCTTCTCCAGGATCAGGTAAGTTTTTCTCTCCAGGATCAGGTTAATCCAAATCACTCATCTCTACTTGAGCATCCTCAGGAAAAGCTGTGGCTACATCTGAGGGACTTTGTTCAACAGCAGTCAAGGTTTCAGAGGGATTAGTCCTTTCAGGGACAGTTTCCATCTTTTCAGGGGTGTAACTGAAACCTAGGGTTTCAACTCTCACGGTCCTATGACTGTCATGGTCATATTCCTCAGGGTCGTCTTGGGATTCAGACCCATCCACTTCATCTGAGTTGTTCATCTCTGGGCTCCGTTGGGTTCTTGGCGGTCTAGGCATCTTTGATGTGTCAGTTTCACTTTTGACAGGGGTCACAGGTAGATAACCTTATGGCAACAAGAGGTCACGATGAGGGGTTCTTTGTGGACCTTCTCCAGTCTCAGGTCTCACAACATACACTGGGATGTCTCCACATTGTCTCAAAACAACATATATATCTGACTCCCACCTGTCAGCTAATTTATGTTTACCCCTCAGGCGGACATTCCTAACCAAGACTCTCTCGCCTTCTCTCAAGGTGGACTAAACGATATGTATATCAAATCTCGCTTTATTGCAATCCGCTGTCTTCTTTGCATTTTCTGCAGCCACTCGGAAGCTTGTTTCAAGGTGAGATCTCAGGTTTTGGATGTACTGAGAGTGGGACTCTGGTTGGTGATGGACTGGCTGGCCAAAAGATAGGTCGACTGGCAATCTTGGCTGCCAGCCAAACATTAATTCTTAGTACAGTTATAGGCGTGTACTAATGACTTGACATAGTCACGCCAATGACTCTTCTTCTTACTCTCAAGGGTTCCCAGCATGTTGAGTAGGGTCCTGTTGAAATATTCAACAGGGCTCCCTCTGGGATGGTAGGGGGTGGTTCTTATTTTCTTAGTACCAATGAGTTCACACAGTTCCTTTTATTGTTCTGGACTTAAAGTCTGGACCTTGGTCACTATGGAGCCTCTCAAGGATGCCATAATGAACAAGAAAGTGGTCCTATAAGCATTTAGCTACTGTTTGATCCTTTTGGTTCAGGGTAGGGACTACTACTGCATATTTCATAAAATGGTCTCTAATGACCAGAATGTCTTTGGTGTTGCTTGAGTCTGGTTCCACCGTGAGGAAATCCATACATATAAGCTCAAGGGTTTGTAGCTGTGATGTTAACAAGCGGTGCAGTTTTCTCAAGAAGGGATTTACGACGTGTGCAGCGGTCACAAGTTCTGACTTTCTTTTCCACATCAACTGACATTTTGGGCCAATAGAACCATGTCCTGAGGTCTAGAGTATGCTCTAGGCCCACTTGGCCAATGTCATCATGCAGGCTCTTTAAAACTAAAGGCCTCAACTCCTCTGGTAGTACAAGTTGGTAAGTTGTCTGTGCATTCTCTTGTCACCTCCGGTATAATATGTCATTCAACAGCCGTAACCGGTTCCATTCCCTTAACAATAAGCAGATCTCAGGAAGTTCTTTTCTTAGAGATGGTGGAGGTTTTTCTCCAGACTCCATCTTGTTGTTCACTTCTCTGATGCTGTTATTCGCTCTTTGTTTCTCAATCAACTCAGCAGCTGTAAATTGGGGAATGACGGGTAACCCACTAAGTTGGACTTCGTCTCCAAGGTTAGCCGGTATAGCCTTTGGGTGATGAGCAAGTGACATGAATAAGGTGGTACTAGGCAGTGTCCTTGCAGGGTCATCATCAACAGTGTGGTGGAACAAATGTTTCTCACAAATGGCTCTGACCGTGCTTTCTGTCATTAGATTTGAGTGTTCAGATTCATTAAGTGCTTTTGTGCAAACTGCCTTATGCTCTCCATCTCTTTCTGTGATGTTAAGTCATTTGTCAACCCCTTGTGTGGTCTTCTGGACAATCCATCAGCGTCCTTGTTTTGTTTTCCTGCTCTGTACTGCAGCTGGAAGTCAAATGTTGACAAAACAGCAAGCCATCGGTAGCTTGTGGCATCAAGTCTGGCAGAAGTGAGGATATAGGTTAATGAGTTACTGTCAGTAACAACGAGGAATGGACTCCCGTACAAATAGTCCTGGAACTTCTCTGTTACTGCTCATTTAAGGGTGAGAAACTCCAATTTGTGGGCTGGGTACCTGGCTTAATATTGTGACAACCCACGGCTTGCATAAGCGATGACTCATCTCTGTCCTTGCTGTTCCTGGTATAGGGCAGCACCTAACCCTACAGTACTTGCGTCTGTATGTAGAATATATGGTAGTTTCGGTTCAGTGAACCCAAGGACTGTAGCTGTTGTCATCTTATCAATGATTGTCTCAAATACCACTTGGCATTCCGCCGTCCACCTGTCACCAAAGATGTCTTTAGGATTATGGCACTTCTCTGTGGTCACCTTAGAGCTACTGTGCTTCCACAGTGGCGGATACCCATTGGTGAGTGCATTGAGGGGTTTCACAATCTTTGAATAGTCTTTTATAAATCGGTGGTAATAGCCACAGAACTCTAAGAAGGTTCTTAGCTCCTTCAGATTGGTTAGTTTTGGCCAGGTTTTGAGTGTGGCGATCTTTTCAGGGTCAGTTTGGATGCCTTTCTCGGACGCTATATGGCCTAAATACTTGACCGATGACTGAAAGAATTTGCATTTGTCTGGGGACAATTCCAGTCCATACTCCCGCAGTCTGTTGAGTACAATTAAGCAACCTTTCTTTGTGTTCTTCCAGTGTTGGATAGACTATAAGATCATCCATGAAAACAAGGGCTTGTTTCAGGTTCAGCTCTCCCATGCAACACTCCATAAGCCTCTGGAACGTGCTAGGGGCGTTAGTAATGTCCTGAGGCATCCTGTTAATCTCAAAAAACCCTAGTGGGCAGACAAACCCAGTTTTGTGAAAACCACTTGGACCCATTTAAGGCTGAGAAAGACTCTTCCAAGTTTGGTAAGGCGTATGAGTCCTTTACTGTTTGGAGGTTGAGCTTGAGTCTGACATCGCCATTCTTTTTCCTGAAGACCACGATCGGCGAGGAGAAAGGAAACTCTGACTCGTGGATAATTTCAGCATCAAGGAGTTCCTGGAGATGTTTTCTCACAGCTTCGATATCTTGTGGATGTATAGGCCTTGCCCTGTGCTTGAATGGTGTTTCGTCACTGAGCTTAATGTGGCGTTTGATTTTGTCAGTGCGGCCGAAATCGAGATCATGCTGCACGATTACATCTGGCATGGAGTTCAGCTTTTCAGTTATTTGTTCTTTCCATTCATTGGATATTTGGGAATTCCCAAAGTCAAGGTTAATCTTTGGTTCTTGTTTTTGGTCAGGTTTGGTTGGGGTGTCTGGGTTGCCAGTGGTGATAGGCTGGACACTCTGAATAGCATTAGCTTCAGCTATCACACTTTTTGGAGAGATGGTGATATTATGGTCTGACTCATTCTTAATGATCACTCGTATGCAGCGAGGCAGCTTGGATGGGAGGCTTGTTCACTGCAGTTCACTGATCCTTCCACAACCTTGGTCTGACCAGGGCCAATGGTCTCAGGGTCTTTGCTGGACAACCTCACAACTCCAAGGCTCGAGTCAACTTTTGTCTCTGTCTCATTTCAAGAGTCTTAAGGACCACACTGTACCCATAGGGCAATGACTGAAGGTTCTGGAGCTCAGCATTTGAGTAATGTTCATACAGAATGTCCAAAATGTTGGTGTCTATGAGGGTTGATGACAAGGTTGAGTGCATATCAGGCACAATCAAGGCTAAAGTGGGCACCTCGATATCAAGGCCAGGGGAACTCTTTGGGAATGTGATGGGTACTTGAACATAACCCAAGTAGGGGACATCTTGGCCAGTGGCGGCTTCCACTTCAAGCAAGTTGTCGAGGGATTCAATAGGTAAGTGTAACAGGTTTTGCTCAAAAAACGCGTTTGGGATTGTTGTTACTTGTGATCCTGTGTCTAACAAGCAATTATAATTTTTTCTGCAATGGCTACTTGCGCTGTGGTTTTAGCTCCAATGAGCCCTTTTGGTAAGGTTACTGCTCGTTGTCTTGAGTGTGAGCATGTTAATGAGGCACGCAGTTTCCTTTTAGGACACGTTTTCTCTATCTCAGCCCCCATTTGCCCCTCAATAGTGGCTGATGTTAGTTTAACTGATCAGATGGTGAGGGATTGGTGAGGGTTTTTGGTCTCCTACGCCGACTGTTCCTCCCTTAACAGTTTCTTTTTTGAGGCCACAAGAGAAGGGTTAGGCTCAGCTGCACACTTTTTTCACGGGTTTTATATGCCTGTCTTCATCACATCTGAGGCAGTACCAGGGTCTTGGTTTGTCACTGTGATTATTGTTCGCCTCACGGTTGCTAAGTTGTGGTTTTTGTGGCTTAACACTTAGCTGAGGGCTTGGTTGTGGCGGGTTTGAGAGGGGCTTTCTTTGAATGGGGTTTGTTGTCTTTTTAAAAGTTAAATAATCCAATAATCACACAATGACAACTTTAGTAAAAGTTGTGTTTTCTATAATGTTGATGTTCAACACATTTCTCTTTCAGATGTTGATGAGTGCGTCTCGTCCGGCGGGTCAGTTTGCGGGTCACAGCGTTGTGAGAACACCATTGGTTCATACCGCTGCCTCACTTCCTGTGAGCCAGGCTACCAGGTGACACAGTCCGGCAAGTGTGTAGGTGAGTCTGTCTGCACATCACAAACATCTACATGTTCATACTGAGGCTCTGACTGCAGCCTCTCAGTCTGTGGTGACTGGACAAAAAGTGAAACTGAGGCCAATTTTTTCACTGTGAAACTGAACATTTCCTGCAGATGTTTCACAATAAAAGCCCTCCAGGGAAGTGAAAGGATGGTGAATGAGAAACAGATGGAGGACGAGTTGCACAAACAGCATCAACAACAAACAGACAGAGACAGATCAGATACAAAACACACAGCTTAGATTGAGATCGTTCATCTTGTCCATTTAACAAAAGGCAACTCATCCAAAGCATATACAGTTTTAGATCTTAAATGTGACAGATGTTAGTCGTCTCTAGCTGCTCTGACCCACATGCTGTGGTTGTGTCCTGATCTGCATCATTTCTTCATCACTGAGTGATTCTTACAACACAAGCACTGAACCAGCTCCTTCAGAGAAAACACATTTACACTGCCTGCTTCTCAGCCCGTCATCTTCAAAATTCAAAACCCCCTTCTGATGTGTTGTTGATAGGTTTCATGTTTAATTTAAAACTAGAGAAAACCAAAATTACCATGAGAGGAAACTCTGGTACTTTTATGGACACCTTTTGATATATAGTGTTTCCTATATGTGAAACATTTTGAATATATTCTTGTATCCAGTTGGAGATTCAGAGAGCAGATGTGTTTTGTTTTTCCATTTCCTACATCACTTTCAGTAAAGACAGTCACACACACTTCAGATTGAACCTCTCTCTCCTCTTCCAGATATTAATGAGTGCACCAATAAGACGGTGTGTGGGGACCACGCCTTCTGTCAGAACCTGATAGGAACCTACCTGTGTGTGTGTGACATGGGCTTCACCACCACTGCCGTGTGTGTGTGACATGGGCTTCACCACCACTGCCGATGGAAAAGCCTGCGTGGGTATGTGTTTCTCTTCAGCCTTTTTTCTTTTAGTGTCTAATTTTTACCCACCTGTCCAACATGTTCAGATTTCTGTTACTGGTTTATGGTTGAAGTCATATTTTTAAAGCAGAACAGAGCGTAACACTCTGCTCTGGCTGCCTCAGTTCTGCCTCTGGTGGAGAGGCTCCCCCTTGTGGCTGATCAAAGCTGTTAATAAAGACAGGAGCTCTGTGTCCTCTGTAGGGCTGGGACGATTATCCGACGTAATCGACGTTGTCGATTATAAAAATTATTCGACGTGGAATTTTAGTGTCGACGCGTCGTGTAAAACCACACAGGGTAAATGTTCTTAGAACAAAACCGGAACTTTCTAATGGGACCGTTTATATCCATCGTCTTTGGTTTACCTGGATACAAGCGCATCGCAAGGGCTGGGACAACGCAGTGACGTAATTGAAGTCATTGACTACGTGAATGATTTGCGTCTGTGTAATCTATTTGAACAACATGGCGTCGTCTACCAGCAGTACGACGGAGCGTGTGGAGCAACACGCGGCAAAAAAGGCTCGCACACGGTCCTCCAAAGTTTGGGAATACTTTAATCTTGACACCAACAGTGCGGTAGTCTGCAGACTCTGCAAAGTGCATCTTCATTTGTGTGTGTGGGTGTGTGTGTTGAACGGGGCAAATTGTTATATTAAATGACTAACTGGAAAATAATTGCAATAAAATTACTGTTAGGTTAATAAAAAAAATAATCGTTAGATTAGTCGAATAATCGAAAAAATAATCGCTAGATTAATCGTTTAAAGAATAATCGTTTGGGACAGCCCTAGTCCTCTGATGGTGATGATAGAAGCTGTTAACCATGTTGTTATCATCAGTGTTTCACCATGGTACTGGTATTAAAATCACTAGCAGGCCTCTACTGGTCAGAGCCAGCTGTTCTACAGGTTCTACAGCCTGTTTTTAAAACCTCAAATCACATTCAAATGACAAATGACAGAGCAGTTCAGTCTGATTCTCTCATGTTGTTGCAGAGACGTTCAAATGCACCAACACAACACAACTCTACTCTCTTTTTCTTCTCCAGTACAATTAGTCATTTTTCATTATCTGAGCTTCATTAAACCGCTGAATTTTAAACCATGATCACAAACTGTATTGAACTGTTTTTACTCCTTTTGTTATATTTGTGTGTATTTATTCTGTTGAATGAACTCCTAAACTCTTTTATTTAAATGACGGATGAATAGATGAAAAACAGAGAGAGGAAGTGCAGCTCTGTCTATACAGCTTTCCTCCACAGTGATGACACCCACTCCTCTACTGGCAGCCATGTTTTCTTATCTCTCTCTCTGTCGCTCTCTCTCTCACACAGATGAGGATGAGTGTGTGTCTCTGCAGGATGCGTGTGGTTCTGCTCGTTGCGAGAACATGGAGGGATCCTTCATATGTGTGTGTGACGAACTGGAGGAGTTTGACGTTGCAGCTGGGAAGTGTGTCAGCCCTGTACAATCAGGTACACGCAAATAACACACATACACACACACATACACATGCACACCTCAGTGAGGTACAACCAGAAATACATATATTTGTTTAGTGCCATAGAGGGTCTTAAATTTAATTTACAACAATTGAATATTTTTGAATATTTCTGTGCCCTGCTGTAGACGGTAACATCAGTTTCAACTTTTGATTGTTAGGAAACTCACCCACTCAGAATAGACAAGAGTCGAATTCAGTAACAACTTAAATGATTTATGTTTTAAATAGTTTATTCCGTCTGTCTGTTTGCTGCGTCCAAGCACAGACAGATTATGGGACAATGGACCACTGGGCAGAATGACAGAGACAAGACGACCACACACTGAGCTGTCGTCATCTTGTGTGTCTCTTTTTCTTTATTTCTCTGTCTCTTTTTTGCATTCTTTTAACTGATCTCTATGACTTTCAAACAAGAAATATTAACAGTCAGTTCATACAGAGAGTCTGGCCCCGGGGCCCCGGGGCCCCTGACCCCGCTCACCTGTTCAGTAACCCTACATGAGTCCAAGTCAATTATATTGCTGGGAATTATAGATTAATAGTGTCATGGTTTGTCTTGGAACTCAGCAGACCTCAGGTTTTAGAGCTGCACCTTTTACAGCAGAAACTAAATCCAGTCCCCAGTCTGACTATGTGAGGTTCCACAGGAACCCTCTGAATAGGTGAATTAAAATCAACCATAGACAAGACTCATTCAGCACACTGAGATTCTGAGAGTTTTACTCATTGCAAGTTTATCTGCAACAAGACATGTATACAAACAAACTCCGATCTGTCTCAGTAACAGTTCAGTCCAGCAAGTATTTTGCCCAACAACACATCGACAAGTGGACTAGAGGAGCCATGAATTGAACCACCAATCTTCTGATTAATTTCTCTGGTGTCTTGAAAAGTCTTGAATTGAATTTTTAAAAGTGTAGAAATTCTGATAAAAGCCAGAAAAGCAGGAAATGATGGCTAAATAAATGAATAAACATATGGACAAGGTTTCAAACAACAAACTAGCTGCTTAAAACTATCTATAATTGTTTAAACAAACTAATATTGTTAATGTTTAATAATTAATCATATAGTGTTGTTATGTCTGTTTGTCCCAACGTTAAAAACTAACAGACAACAAGACTTGTCACTGTAATCTTCAGTCAAACATAAAGTACAAAGTGTTCGATACAATCTTAAATATCTCCTCTTGACCACATGTAAATTTATACTGATAGATTCTCTACACCAGCTTGAGAAACAACCTGTTTATTAAACCTGATCCTGTCAGTCCTGAGGATCCACATCCTGGACGCTGAGGTTAACGTGAAGTTCTGACAACCAGACCACAAATAAGATAATAAGTGATTGATAAAGTTTTTAACCTCTGGATTCCTTTTAGACTGAGAATCAGAGAGTGCTGCGTGTTCATGAATCCAGCACGTCATCTACAGTGAGGGGGTCCATTTCTTTCTGGGATTGATCCTATTGATTCATCGTATCGATATTCAAAACAAGACTTAGTATCAGTATTTGATCTATGGTCCCATTCTCACTTTTTATGCCTCCACAGCCAGACCTGTCCTTCCGTCCGTCCCATTCTCATGGACACAATATCTCACTTGATAAAAACTTCTTCAATTTTGGCACAAAACATTCACCTGGACTGTGGGATGAACTGATTAGATTCAGTGTCAGTGTGACCTCACAAAACACACTTTAGCCATTACTCAAGACTTCACACAGCAGTTATGAGAAAATTTCACACAAATGGTTCATATTTTCTATGACTCTGGATAAACAGGGATGTAACCTGAAGCTAGTCTGAGTGGAAGAGGCAGACAACCACCAGGAGGTGATTCTAGTTCTTTGATGAAAAAGTGAAAAAATAGAAACATTTCAGTGGAGCAGAAATGCTTTGTTGATTCCTTGTGAATCAGTGTGCAGCTCCTCAGGTCATGTGATCATCAGTGCACTAAATTCTTTCTATTATTGAAGTCAACCAGTGAATTTCTTCTTTCTTCTCCTGCAGCAGTGGGCCCCAACTACTCTTCCTCCTCCTCTTCCTCCTCCTCGTCCTCATCCTCTTCATCCTCATCCTTCCATGTCAGTGTGGTGGAGTTTGATCCTTTGCTGCCCCCCCTCCCTGCAGCCCGTCCCGGTGAGCTGCGGGAGTGTTACTACAACCTGGCAGAGCAAGGAACCTGCAGCCTGCTGGCCACCAACACCAGCCAGCAGGAGTGCTGCTGCACGTTGGGAGAGGCCTGGGGGCTGGGTTGCCAGTACCACGCCTGCCCCCCCACAGACACAGGTGAGACACTGGGCACACAGGAAGTTCATCAAGCTGAGGTGGTGCTGGAAAAGAACCAGTTAACACAACGTGTCTGCAGTTACAGAGAGAAATGGGACATGATAAAGATTTCGACACTGTGATAATGACTGATATTGTCAGACTGTGTGTCCTGGAGGACATGAGGACGAGTGTCACATCCTCCAGACGTGCTTTATCAGATGAAGCAGCATGGAGTCACAGGTTATGAAAGTTGTCTCTCCTTATTGCACATGCATCTGAGGGAGGCTGAACAACACATGAAGACATGTTAAAAGTGCTGTATGTAAGTTTTTGCTATCACACCATAGCTAACATTAGCATTAACAGCTGTTTACTTACCAGTCTAGAAGAAACATTGTGAGATCAGCATCAAGCTTCATTCCTTTACTCACCAACAGCTGTCTCCAGAAGTGGAAACACCAATTTTAACTCTTGTTTTGTTTCTATTTCTGTCACTACTTTTCTGCTGCTGAAGTTAGCATGCTAACTTCCTATCCCTTCTCGAAATATCATCTTGCGATAATGAGTCGCTGTAGCGTCCTGTGTGCCCTCATTTCAGCATGAGAGGGTGAAGAAGTAGAGGTACACAGAAGGCCTATTCTAACCTCTGTCTTGTAAACACAATGATGGTGGAAGCTCTTGGGAAGTGACCATTATCACCACCACCACCTCCCGGCTAGAGACCACATTCGGCAGCAGAAAAAACACATACACTATGTACATATAACCCCTTTAACAGAGGCTGGATGTTCACTCTGATGGCTTTGATAAGGTCACACATCAGTGATGATTTGGACTGCACCATTTTACTTCATGACCTGTGATAATTGTGTCTTGATTTTAGTTGTGTGTTAAGTTAAGTTGAAGACGGATGGAGAGAGACATCTGATCTGATATGTGAGGAATTTATTTTACTGATATTCATGAGACAAACAAGATGCTCAGTTAACCTCACTGTCTGTATTTAACAATGTGTTACTGTAGTTTTATATAAATCTGATGTACAACTTAGAGTTCTGCTGTTGTAAAGTTGTTAGAGAATTGTGCACAGTGTCTCTCCCTTTATTACCTGACAGATAAAGTTTCTGTATTTGAATGTTTCTATGCAGCCGGGTTTCTGTCTCTGTGTCCCAGTGGGAGAGGATATGTGACTACTGGACCAGGAGCCTTCAGCTACAGAGGTACACACACACAGACACACACACACACACACACACACACACAGAGGTTCCAATCTGCCTGTTTAACCATCTTTAACAAATAAACTAATAAACAGGACAGAGGATGAAGCCCACAGATAACTCACTGCTCACAGCTCACAGATAACTCATTCCACCCCAAGAGATAAAATAGAGTAAAATAGATAGAATAAAAGTAACTAAAGAGAATCCAAGAACATTCTATTCTATTTTTGATTGTATCAGTCAAAAAAGTTTCCCTTTCTGGGAAAGTTGTCCAAACTTTTGACTGGTACTGTACATCAGCACTCACATTTCAACAACACATACCATGCCTGACTGATATTAATAATTTGTTGTTCTGAACATCCAGCTGTGTTTCCTCTGCCTCTGCTCCCAGATGTGGACGAGTGTAAACGTTTCCACCTGGAGGTGTGTAAGAACGGAGTGTGTGTCAACAACATCCCCGGATACAGCTGCTACTGCTCCAGTGGATACGTGTACAACAGCACACTGCTTGAGTGTGTCGGTATGAACAACACACACACACACCTACACACGTGCACACACACACACACACACACACACAGGAATAAAAATATGCTTCATTATTCAGATTAGTACAGTTACAGCTACATGCTGAGACGCTGTGAGTGTGCAGTAACTGTGTGTGTGTGTGTGTGTGTGTGTGTGTGCGTGCGTGTGCGTGTTTGTGTATGTGTCTCAGATCATGATGAGTGTGAGGAGGAGAGCTGTGTAGGAGGAGTGTGTGTGAACACGGTGGGTTCGTACTACTGCAGTTGTCAGCCTCCGCTGGTGCTCGACGACACTCAGCGAAACTGTGTCAACTCCTCCCACCTCACTGTAGGTAAGACACCTGCCTTCATCCTCCTCCTCCATCCCTTCACTCGTCATTTACATACCTCCTCTTTTCTTTTTCTTTCCTCTCATTCTTTGCTCTCTTTCCTCCCTATGTTTACAACCTCTCATTTACTGTCCACTCCTCTTTTTTTTCCCAATTTTTCCAATAGCGACTGCTCAGGTTGGAGTGGATCAGGGGCATTTTAATTGTATTATTAAAGTGTTTTCTGGTTCTGTTCAGACTCTCATAGAATGTGATTCAGGTTATAGAAAGATCCTGGTCTGGTTTGATGCAGGAGTGAGACTCTCTTGTTACTCCTCCTCCAGATGAGAACCTATCTGTGTGCTGGCAGCATGTCTCAGCAGACCTGATGTGTCAGAGTCCTCTGCTGGGAGCTCAGGTCACCTTCACCATCTGCTGCTGTCTGTACGGGGAGGGCTGGGGGATGGAGTGTGCCCTCTGCCCCTCCACCAACTCCGGTAACAAATCTCACAGGAAGCACTCAAACAAAAACACTGCAGATTAAAACTGAAACTTTCTGCTGGTCATAAGGTTAATGGATACTGGCGACTATATTTTATTGTCTCAGAATCACACTGAAAATTAATGTAGAACTAAAACCACTGATTTTCAACAGGAGCAGGAGGCGCAAAGTAAACTTACTGAAGAGTGTTTGAGTCTTCCTGACAGTTGTAGTTTGGTGTCAAACTCAAACAGCAGGAAACAGGCAGAGTTTGTGCGTTGGCTTCACAGACTGAGATGAATAATTCTCTTCTCTGCAGACGACTACGCTTTTCTGTGCAACTCCTTTCTTCCTCCCCTGTTTCCGAGTTATCCGGATTCGAGCGGATCAGAAACAGGAGGGAGAGCAGGTCCAGGAGCAGGACGAGAAGGAGGAGCGAGTGGTAAATGATTTACTCTTCTTTTAATTTTTTTTTCTCCTTTATTCCTCAATGTGTTTTAGGGTTTTGTAGTTTGTTCTTAAGTCTCACACTTGTTTCCTCCTCTCCTCAGCTTCTCCACGTTTCCCTTCCTACAGTATAGACTCCTTCCCTCCAGCTGTAGCTCCCAGCAGAGACTTCAGTCGCCCTGACTATGATGATTACTCTCCACCAGGAGGCAGCAGGTCAGGCTTCAGAGGGAGGACACCTGCCTCCTTCAGTCTGCCTGATGGAGTCTATCACAGGCCTGAGTATGGGTGAGAATGAAAACTTTTAGTATATAAGATACAAACAAGGGTTTATTTATATATGTCACTTTGCACATAAAACCAAATTGACAGCCAAGCTGCTGATAGATATCTGATCCAAGAAGCAGTCAGTGGGTTGAAATGTGATTGTGTTAACTGCTTCTGGTGGACCTTTGAGACTCATTCTAGCCAGATGTTGTGTCTTCTGTCCTGCTGTGACTGTTAAACTACATCAGTCAGTATTCAGTGGAAACATCCTCTGCAGGGTGAAAGACACTTCAGTCTCTGTAAGTACAGACTGAACCAACCTGGTGTGAAGGATCAGTCCGGTTATATTATATTATACTTAACCAACATTATCCAAGAAAAGTAGAATAGAGGGTCTTGATAGCTGGACTTGATTGTAGATACTTGATGTTTCACCTCTAATCCAAGAGGCTTCCTCAGTTCTGACTGACTTGGTGAGGAGATACAGGTATTTAGGTTACATCCACACTAATACGTTTTAGTTTTAAAACGTATCACTTCTGCTACGTTGCTACGTTTTGAGCCCCTAAAACAGAGACTTTCAGAACCTCTGCTGGACCAGTTTTAGTTTGAAAACTGTTGTAGTCCAGACAGACTGAAACTGAGACTTTGGAAATGATGACGTAGACACCCACGATCGCTCCCGATTGGTTCTGGCCTTGTCTACCAGTGGTGAATGCAACATGGATAATGAATTACAAGTGTTACTGACCTAATTGTCTTTGCTAGCAGCTGTTTAGCAGTTAAATTCTGTATTTTAATGCTACAACTGTCTTTACTGTTGTAATGGGTGAGGTTTGGACCCAAAAGCAGCACTGACTAGAACCGATGATTGGTAATGACTTTTATTGTTAGCAGAAGCAGGTAAATAAGCACAGTTCAATTCAAAGGGGAATGGCAGTCTTTGAGGGGCTTGGGGAAAATCCGAGGGCCCAGAATGAAGCTGTGGATGAGGCAGCCGTACCAGGCAGAGGGTAGGTCGGAACCAGGCAGAGGACCGAAGAACCAGCAGGTAAGTCACACCAGGAACACTCACAATGGTCGAAATGAGGACACTGTCCCAGCGATGATCAATGGGGAAACGAGGAGAAATCACACGCTGCAGCAATGGAGGTGGAGGACTCAGAGCAGCCCCGAGAACAGGCAGACGAAGACCAGGAAGTGGCAAGGCAGATTCGTGGTCAAAAACAGAAGGGCTGAAGTATTTACCAGGGCAGAGACAAGGCGGGTAGGTCGGGAGCAGACAGGGTCGGAACCGGGAGATCAGACGAAGAGTAAACGCTGGAAAGTCTTTCATGGGAACAAAGAACAATCTGGCAGTGAGTGTGGAGGAGAGTGGAGCTTTTAACCAGGCTTGATTGCTGAAGAGCTGCAGCTGAGTGAACAGGTGAATGAAGTGACTGACGAGGTGGGTGTGGCTGGCAGATGGGGTGAGCAAGGGAGTGGTGAGTGGAAAACTACTGAAGGCAGGTATGTTTGGAGGACAAACCATGACAACTGTTCTTTATTCAGAGTATTTTCTGCAGTTAACCAACTGCACAGTAGACAATCTGCTTCCTGTTTACACTGGCTCGCACATGCCCAGAGTAGGTGAATGGTCATGTATGTGTGAGTTTTCAGGTGTGTTAGTATGGATGGAGATTATTTCTGATACAGAGCTAAAACACTCTTCTGGACGGAGATTGTCTTCATTTAAAATGAAAATGTAGTTTTGTGGACGTAGCCTGAACCTCTGTGGGGTCGTTATCAAGGTCATTGATGTCACCTGAGGTTAAGTGTGAATGGTTGTTAAATCTTCAAGGGAGGAATGAAAGCACAGTATTATTGGCGGGGGTAGTGGTGTTGTAGACCTCCTCTGACGTACAATCCTCTTTCAGGACTCCTCTTTCAACAAAGTAGAGAAACATCCCTCAACAAAGTCCAACTGCCCTTGATTCATCTTGGAAAATAATGACTGAAAGTCTTCACAGACATTGTGACTAACATTAAACAACCTTTAACAGCCTCAACAGGTGTGATAACTCAACCGATAACTGCACATTTCAGGAAAACTTTTCAAATGTGGATACAAATGTTAAACTAAAATCCTCCTTTTGTATTACTCTTTTAAAGTATATTTTTTTGGGGGCTTTTGTGCCTTTATTGGACAGGATAGTAGAGACAGACAGGAAATGGGGAGGCAGAGAGAGGGGGAATGACATGCAGTAAAGGGCCATCCGATGCGGGATTTGAACCAGGGCCTGCTGCAGCGAGGACTGTAGCCTCTACATATGGGATGCCTGCTCAACCCACTGCGCCACTCAACGCCCCTTGTGTATTAAGCTTTTGATAAAACACATTAGCCAATCGAAAATTCAAGATGGACTCCATTTCTGGCTAGGAAATGTAATTTTTTGCGATAAATTCATCCACACTTTTCTCATGAATAATCCAGGTGTCAAATCAAACATTTTAACAATGTAGAAGGTGAAATTTTGTACACACACATTTAGTAAAAAATGTAATGAAAGTATTTCAGCAAAAATATTACTCACAAAAAAGCTTGCTAACTATCCTAATGCTAGCGAGTTAGCCTAGTGAGCTAATGTTAAGACAAATAAACAAGTGTCGACTCTTGCAGAACTTTTGGTTCATCATTCAAAATACATTGTGTTTTATGTAGAATTTTTCACATCACATTAGAAATTGCACAAATAAATCTGGAAATGTAAGAGTTGTGAATTTGACATCCTCACTGTCTAAAACAAAGGATTCAATTATAAAATCATTGAAAGTTGTCCCGTGGGTAAAATTCTGTGGTAAAATATTTGTTTCATTTGCCAGAAATGGTGGCCTTTAAATTTTGAAAATTCAAGTAGCTAATGGGAGTTCAAATTAATGGCCCCAGAGGGGAAAACATACCAATTTTGGTGCTTGTTTCCACATTTGAAAGATTATTGCAGTCACCTGCTGCACTATGAATGATCAGTAGATGATGTCAGCAGCAGGTGGAAGTTGATGTTTTTGTGTTTGTCGATGTTAACAGAAGTGTCTGTCTGTGTCTCTCAGCACTGGTTACTACTCTGAAGGAGACTATGGCTCCCCTGACGGCTCCCAACCCAGACCTCCATCCTTCCAACTCCCACCGGATCCCCGGGCTGAGACAGCGTTCGGGGCTCGGCCTCCTCCTCCGTCCCGGCCTGACGGTCCTCCTCTCAGCCTGGCCCCTCTGCCAGGAGCTCCCTATGAGGACCAGGAGGTGGAGGAGGAGGAGGAGGAAACGTGGAGGCCAGGTCCACCGTTCACTCCCTTCACTGAGAGGAGCAGGGGAGGAGTAGCAGGACCAAGGAGGGTGTATGAGAGTGAGTCCACCTGGTGGTGTTCGGCAGCTTTCTACCCAACCAGGGCTGAAACATTTCTTCCTATCCAAACCTTTATTCATTATTTATTTAGTTAAAAAGTCACAGTCACAGATAAAAATTAGAAATAAAACAGATTCACACTCTTGAATTAATCATTTGTTCTCGATTTAACTCACTTATCCTCATCATGCTGTTGGTCCCGTCTTGTGTGTCCCTTCACTTTTCCTATAATTTTGATTTTGGACTGAGACATGTGGATGTACTCTGGGTTTTGGCTGTTAAACATGACGTGAATAGATCTTTAAGTTCTGCATTAAAGCAGCTCTAATGGAAATATTTATTAAACCACATCTCTTCTTCTTGTCTTCCAGGGCGTTACGAGTCCTTTGCCGGCCTGAGTGCAGCAGAGGATTGTGGGATACTGCACGGCTGTGAGAACGGCAGGTGTATCCGCGTCGCAGAGGGTTACACCTGTGACTGTTACCAAGGATACGAACTGGACATGGCCTCCATGACCTGTATAGGTACATAGAGATGGCTGCTTTGACTCATCACTACACTCACACCTTCAGATATGGATCAACCTCAGACTCTGTCCTGACTGGCAGAAATTTTTCTTTGAAGCTTACTTTTAAGACTAGGGACTTTATTTTAACAGTCCAAAGCGTTTGGCGTGTCCATGTCACTTTTCCTATTTTAATGATGGAAAAAACTGTTGCTGCTCCAGGCTCATGATTCAAAAGGGTTGTATTTTGTCTCAACAGTGCAGTGTTTCAAACAGTTAGATTCTGTTTGATAGAGCCCAGTCCTGACCAGTTAGACCTGTCCTGACCAGGGCGACCGGTCCTGACCAGGGAGACCGGTCCTGACCACTGAGACCGGTCCTGACCAGTGAGCCCAGTCCTGACCAGTTGGACCGGTCCTAGCCAGTCCTGACCAGTGAGCCCAGTCCTGACCAGTTAGACCAGTCCTGACCAGTCCTGACCAGGGAGCCCAGTCCTGACCAGTTAGACCGGTGCTGACCAGTGAGTCCAGTCCTGACCAGTTAGACCGGTCCTAACCAGTCCTGACCAGTGAGCCCAGTCCTGACCAGTTAGACCGGTCCTGACCAGTGAGAATGCTTCTCTGCAGAGACATCCATGACACATGATAAAGATATACAACACACAACATGTCACAAAGCAGTTCTGACCTGCTGACGCTGTATTGTAATGCTCCACCTGACTGATCCCAACATGTGAAGCTCACTCTGCTTGTGTGTAACAGGGGGCATATCACTCTCTAGATAATTCACCCATAAAATAACAGTGAAACGCTGTGTCAGGACTTCAGACCAGGTTTTTGTTGGTCAGTCACTTTCCGCTACCTCACCATAGCAATGTACCAACAATGCGCCTGATCACACCTCATTTTAAGACCAACACACCCATTGGTGCTCAGATGGGCACAAGTGTATTTGTTACTTAAACATCGTGGACACTGGACGGTAAAATGACAACTGTGTCAGTGGGAAACTAGCAAAGACACTTGTGTTGCTCCAGGTGTGAGGTAGAGCCCTAAGTGTAAAGGTGTTTTATAATCTTGGAAACACTTTATAATACAGTCCATGACTGTGTGGTTCCCACTGGGACTTACATGTAGGGTCAGTGGAACCAGAGAGTAACTACTAGGTATTTTAGAGGAAAAGAGAAATAAATGATGCTCTAGGTATTTCTGTAGATACTGGAAAACTAATCAGGTTTGGGAAACATGGAGTGAACAACCTTTTTTACTGTTGTGTAATTAAAGATTAAAGAGGGGAGAATAGCCACATGTTATAGTACAGCCTGCAGACAGATTTATATGTGTGTAATGTAAGTAAGCGTATGTCTTACCTGACACATTAATGTAAATACTTATTGGGCTTAAAGTATTAAAGAGAAATTCCAATATTTTTAAGTTAGAACAAGGACACAAGGACACATCTTCATCTATTTATGTTTCTTTTCTTTTTCTACTCTGTCATGATGAATTAGAGATAACGAGGCCAGTATTTATATAATTAGTGAATCAAATTAATAGTACCTGTGTGTGTGTTTGCAGATGTAAACGAGTGCGAGGACAGCGTCAGCGTGGAGTTCCCATGTGTGAACGCTCGCTGTGTGAACACCGAAGGCTCGTTTCGCTGCGTCTGCAGGAGAGGATACATCATGTCCCGAAGACCAAACCACTGTGTGGCTGCATAGACCGGATCAAGCCAGACTGGACTCCATTAGACCTGTATCAGCTGGTCTAGACAATCTAAGACTGGACTACACAATAGCTGACAGGGCTAGACTAGATTGAACTGAACTAGTTTGGGCTTTACTATATGAGCAGATTTGACAAACTAGACTTGACCAGGATAAAATGTACTGGACTAAAATATTCTAGATTGCACTAGACCAGACTGGGCTAGGCTGGACTGGAATGGGCTTGCACAACACTGGGTCACTCTTATTTTTTCCATATTCTCTCTGACAGGTGTTTTCTGTATTTAGGTTTATGTCGTGGAGGGGTGTTGTCCTGTAGTTCAGGGATCTGGTCTACCAGGAAACATCACAGATAATTTTGATTTCTAGAAAACAGAATTACTGGATTTTCATTGCAAAAAGGAAAATAACTTTTGTTGTAAGGAACACTTGAGACTGGGACCAGGATAAGTTAATGGTGTAATGAAGTGACTGTGCACATGGTTAACTATCTCATGTTATTCTGTCTATTATGTTATTCTATATTGAGTTGAGCTGAAATTTGAAATTCCTCATTTTTGGCTGGACCACAACAGCAGGTCAGCCCTATAATCATGAATGTCCCTGACTGACTGACTGACTAACAGACTGACTGACTGAGTGATCAAGTTCCACCACTGGTCAGCTGAATGCCATGTGACTGTGTTGGAGTTTCCTCATTGGCCATTGCTCTTTCAAATGAATTTGCACAAACAGACTCTGTTAGGGGGTGTTCACAGTCTGCAGTGTTGACAACTTAGAGACTTTGTGGCTATTCAGAATTTTTTTTTTTTTTTTTCGCTAAAAAGCACCTAGAGACAAATTTAGCAACTTTCTGCACAAATCTTGGCTACTTATAAGAAAGTCTCCAGATCTGCCCTCTTCCTCTGTTTCTCTCTCTCTCTCTCTCTCTCTCTCTCTCTCTGTCTACTCGGCAGCAGTTTCTTACCCAGACGGAAGCTGTGCTATATGTGAGAGACAAAACCAGAAAATGAAGCTGAAATCACAGCTTAGTCTTTGTCTTCAGTTATATATTCTCTGGTATGTTTGTTAGCTTGTCAGCCCACTAGCTAATAAAAAGTCTGATTTGGGAAAAAAATTATTTTAATTTCTTAAAACTTTTAGCAGCTCAACCAGACAAGACTAAACTAAACCAGGTTTGATAGGAGACTAAACAACTTTTACCCCACAGAGTTCAGCTCACGTGTTATTCATGTAACACCAGTTGTGTACATTTAAACTGTGTTTTTATTCATGTTTAGCCAAAAGTTCTGTTTCCTTAAAAACTTTTCACTAAATCCACTTTTTGGTGGTTGTTACATATAGTCATTTTATTAAAAATCTAAATTCTGGTCCCAGGCTGTGGTTTTCTAATAACAGCAGAAAAAGTGTAGTGTGAGTTAAACACAACATACAAAGAAAAAATTGTAGTGTTGTGCTCAGTCTAAACCAGTCTAGCCCTTTTTAGTTAGCTCAGTGACTGAAACCAGGCTAACCCATACGTTGACTCCAGGCCAGCTCTAAATAGCCTTGTAGTGTAAACCAGAGCAGCCCTGACTAGCCCTGTTTAGCCCTCTATCAAGAGCACTGGGACCAATCTGTGCCCACAGTGTATGTGTACACAGCTACAGCAGCATCCTGATTTTTATCGTAGATCGTATGAGAAGGTCTGGTAGGTTTGTTTGGAGACGTGTGAAGTTGTTTAGTAGAAGAAGAGACAGTCGTGTGTTTTTTTTTTTATTTAGGAGACTAACCAGGCCTCACTGGAAGACAGCAGACAACAACTTCACATTTTACCTTGACAGACGACTGAGGGAAAGATATTAACATCACTGCAATTAACGATTATTTTCATTATCAATTCATCGTCTGATTATTATTGATTAATTGTTGACAATGTGTATAAAACGTAAAAAAAACAGTAAAAAAAAAAGAAAAAAGAAGAAAAAAAATCTGTTACTCCCAGAGGACAAAACGGGATGTCTTCACATATCATGTTTTATTCAAGCTACAGTCCAAAACCCAATATGTTTACTTCACTTGCCTACAAGACTGAGTCTCACAGCCTGTGTGTGTTTGCAAGTGACCCAGCAAACAGGTCAAACTATCAAGATATTTCAGATCAGTGAATGAGAACTTGATTACTCACCTCTTCCATTAAGAATGTCGTGAACACCTCAGAATTAACATGTGAACCATTTCAGGTGTCTCAACCCTCAGGTTGGGAAACGCTGAGCTAAGAACAAAGATACAAGGCTGCAGCTGTACTGACCGTTTGGAGTTTTTGCTTGAAAAATTACTCAAACGATTAATTGATCATCAAAGTGGTTGCCAGTTATTTTCCTGTCAATCAACTAACTGATTAATCAACTAAATGTGCAGCTCAAATCAGCGTCTCAGCTGAGGTGTGATAATGATCATAGTGTCTACAGCATCAAATATATAAAACACCACACCAGTCTGTTCAGTGGTATACAGATTTGAATGGTGTCATCTGCAGTCATAAAAAAGAAAATATTGTTAACGAATGATTTACAGCAGAAGTTTAAATAATGGAGTTTTAATTTCAAACATATTCCACATTTTACCACATTAGCTCCGACTATGACATCTATTTTGTTAAACTCAGCCATGACAGCTGTCCCACTGTAAAGACAGAAAGCTTCTGCTAACATGAAGATTTTAAATGTTAGCCACTAAATGCATCATTCATGAGCCATCTTCTAACTAGAAGCTAATAGATAAGATTAGTACTTAGTTTTCACCAGCTAACGAGAGTGTTTGGAAACTGAAGAATTGAAAGAGCTTCATTCTGCTGAAAACTGATTTGCTCATGGGGCTGTAGACACTGAAATACTGAGGCGATGAGTTCAAAACGTCTCCGGCTGATTGGTTTAGTTTGTTCCAAAACATTCACCAGACTGCCATCATGTAACTCTGGTGGATAAATGCTTATTCATTTCATTACATTTTAATTTAATTTATTTTTGGCTTAAAATAGATATTAAAAAAGATATTTAATCTGAAGAATATCAGAGCACTAAAAGTGTTTTTTCCATTAATGATCTGTTGCTGAACAAAGAAACTCAGGACTCTCCTGGACAATGTAACCAACCACGCGGGCTGATGTTCTGACCTCCAGTTTCCATTATTTTAGAAGTCAGGTTTTTCTGCATAATTCCAACTGTCCACATGTTTCTCCTCATGAATGTACTGGAAGCTGCATCCAGTCATATTGTGTAGATTGTAGCTGACACAATAATCCTTATTGTTACCAAATGAATTAAGCTGTTCCAGCCTGTAAGAGAGCGTGTTTACTGTGTTTTTAATAACTTTCTATTGTACTTTCATGCTGAATCCATCTTAATGACCTTTCCTCCTCAGCACCTAATGTTTGATGTATAACATGCACTGTATCTGCCAGAGACCAGCCTTATCTGTTCACACAGGAGATTGTGTAAATTGTTTAAATTGTCATCTCTGGTGTTTTTTTGTTTTTGTTTTTATGGTTAGTGATTCCCTTTTTTTTATCATTGTTGGTTGTATGACAAGAAATTAAGATATATTTGCACACACTTTCAGTGAAACTTGTGAGTGTTGTCTTGCTTTGTGTTTGTGTTTGTCTGGTCTGTAGGACAGAGGAAGTGAGAGGTAGTGAGTGAAGGTTGCTGAAATCCCAATTCCACCTAGTAAAAGTCTGGTCAGGGAAACAGGGAGGCTCACAGTGAGTTATTTTCAGTCAGAGGAGATCAGGGCTGTAAGCCAAAAAGAGACACAAAACAACAACAAAGAGATGTGAAACAACCACAAAGAGATGGAAAACAACCACAAAGAGACTCAAAACAACCACAGAGACACAAAACAAACACAAAGAGACACAAAACAACAACAAAGAGACACAAAACAACCACAAAGAGATGGAAAACAACCACAAAGAGACATAAAACAACCACAGAAAGAAAACAACCACAAAGCTACACAGAACAACCTTAAACAGACACAAAACAACCACAAAGAGACACAAAACAACTTCAATAAGATGGAAAACAACCAGAAAAAGACTCAAAACAACCAAAAAGAAACGCAGAACAACCACAGAAAGAAAACAACCACAAAGCTACACAGAACAACCACAAAGTGACACAAAACAACCACAGAAAGAAAAACAACCACAAAGCTACACTGAACAACCACAAAGAGACACAAAACAACCACAAGGACTTTCTGCTGCTGTACTTTTACTTTTGATATTTGGTGCATTTTGCAGATAATACTTTTACTTACACTTTACTTTTACTTAGATTTTGAAGGCAGGACTTTAACTTGAAATATTTTTTTTATCAATCAATTCAACTTAATTTGTATAGCACCTTTCCAACAGGTTAGTGCAGTAAGTGACAGTAAGACAATGCAAATGTAAACAGCAAAATAATTTGAGACCAATGTAGGCCTACACAAGAAATAAAAATGTCCTATTATAAGCTTGTCAGTCTCTGTGAACTGCACTAACCTGTGTGAAAGGTGCTATGCAAATGAAGTTTGGCTGATTTGACTTCAGTAGAAGATGTGGATAGTTTTCTCAGTCAGTGTGTGTTGGTTTTGAATCCCCCGCAGTATGTCTTTAACTGTTTGTTTTCAATGGTGGACTCTCCATTAGCATGTTGCTAACACTAGCCATGTGTACGAAGTGTTTGTTGTTGCCACCTCCGGTGATGCTCGCTTGCTGACCCCCTCTAATCCCCCACCTGGCTCCATAACCTGAGTGCCTGCACTGTTTATGTAGATCCAGGTCTGTAAGCCACTTTATATTATAGGCCAATCCGTCCACACACAGACTCACAGCACACACATACTTTCACCCTCAGGCAGCGTTAATGGGATTACACACAGGTTCACCCAGTACTGAGCCTGAAACTGAGCCAGCGGAATATCAGCTTTCACTTTCACAGAACGGCCAGCACCTTTTAAAGACCTGCATCACCACACATCCAACACCTCATCCAACACGCACATACACACACTGCTAAATACTACAGCTGTTCATCCAGTGTCCTGGGGAGTGTTAACACACACTGATGTGTCAAAGTCTGACCTACAAAGACAACAACTACATGTAAATGATATCATATTACAGATGATAATCTGTGTCTAAAAACAAAGAAAAGAAATAAATCCAAACATGCTGCTAGATAAAACTCAGTCCCCAGTACCAACGATAAACACTCACTGAGCACTTTTTAGCAACACCTGTGCACCCGCTTATTTGTGCAATTATCCAATCAGCCAATCATGTGGCAGCAGTTCTGTTATACTGGTCCCTTCAGTTTAATAGTTTTCACAGTGAAGGGTGTAGGTGTCCCCATGAACCATGACCAATACAACCACAACGTAGTATAAAGTAGATTTTGGACAAAATGCAAAACCATGTGTTTTACAAAAGATGTAAAAATATATATAAAATGCAGCCTTCCCTGCCCTCCTCCCTTTATCTAAACATATAGTGCATAATGATTCCAATCAGATTCATAACTTAGATATGCATTACATAATTTGGATAAGAGGCTTCAAACGTCACTGTTTACTGCTGTAGTCACACTGGGC